ACTTGGAATGTCATGTGTTCAAGTCTTATTGAATGCATTTTTTAAAAGAAATATCAAAACGACGTCTTTTGATCACCTGAAATAAAAAAAAATCGACCAAATAACTTAGTAAGCCGGTATGTCACGTGTCAGTCACGTCATTAATTATTGACGGAAAATTAACACCGTTTACGATTTTGGTGAAATTGGCTGCATTTCAATATTTCATGTAATTATAAGCATGGTTCAATAGTTCGTGTATGGATTTTCAGAAAGCATAAAATTCGTGGATGAATAGGCCGTTCCCATAGACCAGAATATCAAATCAAAGTTTTGTTTCCTATGTCATTACAGCAGAGAACCCAAGCCACGTCATACGCATGAATATGCCTAGTTGCAATTTGCTGTATTAATATCGGAGCGTGTCCAAAAACTCTAAGTATATGTTTGCTGTGCTAAATTTGAAAGGAAAATAAAAATCAGCATAGGTTAAAAAAACAACTAAGCGTCCTGGCAACAAACAGCCTAATCTACATTTTAATATAAATCTCTGAGATTAGCATGTGGTTTAAGCGGAAACCCCGCTACCTGAAATTCTAACTCGAGGACTGTACTTGTTCGAATCATGGTTTCTGTTCATAATATTCTATATAATTTTGTCTTAAAGAATATTTTGCATATATATAGCATATATATTATATATAAAGAATATTACATTATTTCGATAGATATAGTAGCAGCCCACAGGTAATATTTGTGGTGCTAATTTAGGGTTTTTTTTAAATATCTAGATTTTAAAACCACACTCTATTTAATTAGTTTTTTATTTTATTTAATCACACATTCAATTTAAAAAAAAACTGTTCTCTAATTGATTGCTTAATCTGGAAAACAAAGTTTATAAACGAAGAATCCAATAAACGAATTTCGACATATGGACTAAACAAGCTGTCTGACAACTTAGAGAACAAGAAATATAAGATACAGAGAAATTAAAAGATTTATCTCGGAGCAGACCAATCTACATATTAGATATGCTATTAATCATACGGATGAGGATATTTTAGCACATAATAAAACTTTCATTTTCCGTATGTAAGGACAATAAACTACTTTTTTATACATTTATCTCCTACAAGCATTTTCTTATCATCTTTTTTTTTTTGGGTCAAACTTTGCAAGTAATTAAACCAAGCCTTAAACCATAGGAGGAAGGGTTTGTGGCCTTCCATGACCCGTCTATCGGCACCGAAATATCCGAGCGTCCTTATCATGCGGACCTGATGGTTTTCCTATTCTTATAGGCTATTCACACTCTATTTTTCTAAATTTAGTGTTTTATTTTATATTTTTAAACGAGATACAGAAGTGTTATGTTTAAATTCCAAAACTTGTTCGTCTTAAGCTAATAACAAAAGGGAAACAAGAATGTTATCAACATATAGTAAACTTGTATTTGTGAAATTCTAAGGCTTGACAGTACTTGTGCATATTTTTATATGTAGATATAGCTTAATTAACTTAGCTGTCTCAGTAATCTAAAACATTGGGTGGATGACTGGATGTTATATATGGCAATTTATATAGAACACAACAGTACCAATTTTTGGGTTCAGATGAATGACTAACAGTCTAACCTCATTAGTCATCACATGCATGCTATTATAAATTCATAGAGTCTAATGATACGATGGTGGACTAAAAATTATAGGGATTTTAAAAGTTATATGATATACATGGATAGTACATATCATACAGCATGGGAGTTTAGCTAGCTGTAAAGTCATTCTGTATATTATATTATTTCCCTTAGAAACATTACATTTGTAATACAAACAGATGTGCAAGGTCTGGGTTTTCTTAAGTGAATAGCAGTAGGCCATTGTTCTATTACACGTTCTTATTTGTTTATGTTATTTTTAAATTGAAGAAATGATAAATATTGCTTCATATATAATTTTTTATTCATTAAAATTAATGGATGATATATGTCGTAAATTAAACATTATTGAAAACTACATTAATTGTCATTTAATAATAAAAAACCTCATATTTAGGAGATCAAAAGAAAAACATCATATTTGTTAGTTCTTTACTTAAACCTTATTATAACAAAAATTAAACTCTTCATACAATATTTTTTGCACCAAACATAAAAAAAAAACTCTGAATACAGTGTGATCCCATAAAATTAAAAAAAAAAAACAAATGCTCCTGTAATCATCTCCAGAATGACCAGCACAAGAAGAGAACTCAGGGTAAGTGTTGAAGTTTTGTGGTTCTTTACAATGACAAAGTACAACACAATGAGAGCCAGACACTGTGTATTCTGTACACTTATCTTACGACGCATCAACTTTTGCATGATTGAAGACCTTGAAAACACCCGCACTTTCAAGTTAACCTCACATAATCTTTAGCTCCATTCTGAAAAATAAAGGAAATTTGTATCTCTACTCTGTAATTAAGTACAACCAAACGACAAAAACTGGCATATCTCTTTTGCTATTAAATCTCCCTTTTCGGGTTTTGTCTCCCAAAAGAACAGAGCAAATCAAATGATGGGAACTTTTAAATATATGCTGTACAAACTCTCTCTATTTTACTTGTAGTGAAACTTTTTCCTTTTTGATTAGAAGTTTAGAACTTTATGAGAAGGGGAGAGGTTCAGCACACCGTTTGACAGTGGATTGATAACAATAGCATCAATTAGACTTGCGTAGACGCTAACTGAGGATTACGGTTAAGTAATGGGCCTACACTAATTTCATGTCACACAGTCGCACTCGCATATACACGACGTCAATAGAAGATTAGTAAGGCTTATAAATTACAATTTAAACAAGGATATTTTAGCAAAAACAAAAACGTAAACAAGGAAACTATTGCATGAAATCACATAATTTATACAGAAATATTTAGTTGACACAAATATGATATTTTTATAAATATCTCTATATTATTATTTGAGTAGACATTTACATAAATGAACCTTTATTTATAAGATATTACAAAATATTTTACATAAATAAATATTTATTTATAAAATATTACATAAATAAACTTTTACTTAGAAAATATTACATAACCAAACGTTACAAATATAGAAAGGTCAACTAAATATTCTTCTAGATAGTTAAATATAGAGCTCACAAATTTATTCGAAATATATATAGATATAAATCAAATGTGTATTTAGTTTCTTTACTTATTAAAATATTAGAATTTATTATATTATTTTAAATAATAATCAATATGTATATGAAAAAATCTATTTAAAATTTTGCAATATTTTATATTTGTATTTTCATAATTAATTAGTATCATTTTCGAATATCTTTTTAATTATTTTTATATAAAAAAACTGAAATATGTTTTCAAAATTTAAAATATAAATTTTTAAGGGTTGGTCGAAAATATATTTTAATAAAATACAAAATAGATTAAGTAAACGGATTTGTCCACTTTGAAAATCCTATATATAATCATTATTAACACATATTATATAATTCATTAACTAATAATGATAGTTTGATCTCTAATACAATATTCAAAAATTAATTATATTTTATAGATATATATATATATTTAGATTCTAATTCATGTTGGTATGTATATAAGTATATATATATATATATCAACATCATATTACTTTATATTTAAAAAATACTAATAATTAATTTGCATAACAAAACTAGCTCAAAGTCCTATTCGAATATATATATACAAGTAAATATTAGTTGTTTGATATTTATATATGTATTGTTATCTAATTGTCACCAATTTTATTTATTTTTGTTTTTGTTAAAGATTTTTACCACCAATTTTAATTTAACCCAAAAAAATAAAATTATTTTAAAAATAATTTAAAAAATATTATCCCGCACAATGTGCGGGTTAATTCCTAGTTAATTATACAATTTAGTTTGAAAAATAGAAATAATAACATTGGACGTATTATATAGTTAATTAAGCGACCCGATTAGGACATTGTAAAACTATATTCACTTTTTTTTTTCTTTGAAAACACTATATATTCATTTTATTATTGAAAGGTGTTATAAGCATATAATATTATGTCATCCCGTCGTCAAAATCACCACATCATCTCTCATTCAATGATTAATCCACACGGAAATGATCTAAAAAATGCAATTTTTAAAAGATAATCAACAAGACAAGGGCATGGAACAACCTATAGACTTTTTTTTGGAGAAAGGGTGTAAACAACGTATAGACTTATCCAATAAGATCATAACCTATAATTGGAAAACGACGTGATGACGACATGGGATGAAGCACGATGCAAAGCCAAATTAGTGATCGCTTATTTATTTAATTTTGCCTGTTTTCGTGAAACTTTCGTGCGTAATTGCGTATATAAACCCATAGAGTGCAATACGCAAATCCTTTTTAAATCTTATTGACCAGATAACCACCATCTAACACACCCCACTGGTTTTTCTAGAGGTTACCATTATGATTCTTTGATACATCACACTCTTAGTGAAAAATATTTTACATTTTAAATTCGGCATATCGAGGTTGTTGGACTGCTGACATAGTGACAGACATGCTTAAAATAAGTTTTTTCACTCGTATTAATTGTTCATTTTAAAAGTTTAAGTGAGTAACAAATATTAGCTTTAAAGTGGATATATATAGGCTTGAAATACGTTGAGAAATAGAAAGGACTTGCACAATTACGTAATAAGAAACTGAACAATCATAGAACCAGAACATTAACAAATAGTGGCGATATTTGGACTAATCGGTGGCTTCATTGATAAACACATCTCAACTTCTTGATGGAAACATCATAATCATATCATATAGTATGTTATACTAATATGTTATTTCCAACATATTAATTAGTTATGATGGAAACATCTCTTAAAATAGTGCCATTGTTCAAACTTCGAAGTCAACCTACCAACCACAATCCCTTTGTAACCATTAAGCAACCTCAAATCGCAATGTTCGCTTGTTCCTATCGTTCTTATCATATAATCTCCCTTGATCTTAACACCAACTAATCCTTTTTTTTTTCTTACAAAAAAATATAGCTAATCAACAGGGTTATTGTTTTTCAGGAAATTTATAGTACACTGTTGCATGGACCGGAGAGAAAACTCGGCTAAAGCTTGGTCCTCATGAACCCGAAAAGTAGAAATAATCTCAACCGTTCAGTCATCGGTCATCATGGTTTGGTCCAACGGCTACTCCTCCTCTTTTTTCTACTCTTCTCCGGCCAAGCTTCAGCTCAAGCCACTCACGGCGGTTCAGATATGTACGGAGAAAGCTCACGGTTCGACCCAACCATGGCGATACTAATGATCGTCCTGGTCAGCGTTTTCTTCGCTCTCGGGTTTTTCTCCGTCTATATCCGTAGGTGTCTCGAGCGAGTCATGGGGATGAACCATGAACACCCTGCCGACGTCGGAGGAAACTGGCTTTCCCTGACACGTCAGCAAGCGCGTGGCCTTGACGCATCGGTCATCGAGACTTTTCCGACGTTCCGTTACTCAACCGTGAAGACGCTCAGGATCGGCAAAGAAGCGCTCGAGTGTCCTGTCTGCTTGAACGAGTTCGAGGACAACGAAACGCTGCGTTTGATTCCTAAATGCTGCCACGTGTTTCATCCTAGTTGCATAGACGCTTGGCTCCGGTCTCACGCCACGTGTCCTCTCTGCCGAGCCAATCTCGTCCCCGTACCGGGCGAATCCGTTGCTTCCATCCAGATACCCGGTTTAGTCGACGTGGCTCCGCGCTCTGATTTAACCGGTGATCGGGTTACGGTTTTGGGATCTCCGGATGCAAGGTTGATCGACTCGGTGGCGTTGACTTGTAACCAGAGTATGCCACGTAGGTCTATGTCTACCGGATGGAATTTAGCCGGAATTTTCACTAATTCTGATTGGACCGGTCATCATGCGGAGAATCTTGACCGGTTCACGCTTAGGTTACCGCAAGATATCCACAATAAGCTTGTGAACCGCAACATTTCAAAAGGCCAGGTGGCGTTACCTCAGGTGATGAGTTCGGCGAGAGGGTACAGAATCGGAAGCCTAGAGACTGATCGAAACTATTTCTACTATGAACGGTTTGACCAAGTTGGCCGGTTAGACCGTAGACCATTCTCCATAACTCCTCCGTACCGGACAGGTTCGATCAATACGTCTCCAGGTCATGATCAGGTGCGTGCTGGTACACCCAAGGGTTTATTATTAGCGATGAGATCACCGTTTGATCGGTTGTTTGTTGCAAAAAACAACGTCGGTGAACGTTCGTCGGACCACCTTCGCTCCGGTGATGCTAGTAGCCCTGTGTAGACCAAGTTGTGTTATTGGTTTATCGAGCAAGTCTCTCTGTAAATAATTTACTTTCTTGCATTCTTCATTTTCAATTTTATTGTTACGGAACATACGAGGTCCGGTCTTTGTTTTTCCGTGGTCTATTGTTTTAACTTGTAAAAGAAAAACTCAATTCGTCAAGAGAATACAAAACACAAGACAGAACCTGTGGTCTATCTTGATAAGTTTGTAAGGATCTAAAATGACAAAAAAGAAGAAGTTAATTTTCTTACATTTCTTGAAGAGTTGCCTCGATTTACTTCGTTTGCAGCCTTACAGGAAAAGGAAACAATAAAAGAACACAAACACGGTTGTTGAATTTGGAAAGCTGAGCTGGGTTTAACATGATAGATATGAATTTTTTTGGGGCTAAATTATAATAAACTATTTATACGGGAAACGTATGAAATTATATGTAAAGCTTAAATTGAAAAAACAAAAGTAAAACGCGGTTGCAAACGTGATCCGATCGTCAAGGACGATAATGTACAAAATCGCCAAGGCTGCGTTTCGAAACAGAAAATCAAACGACGCTTCGCTGCTGTACTCTCTCCAGGCTCGCTCAATCTCCAGGTGTTTTTTGTTTTTTTTTTGCAGATATATGACTCAAATTTCCAGTAATAGAGTCGAATTTCCTGTAGTAGCTAGAAGTTAGAATCATCCTCTGGCTCTGGCGTTTGGTTTAGATAATGTACAGGTCCCATGATTGATGCTTCTCTTGTTAATCCTTATGATAGACAAAGAAAGCTGGTAAAGCCTCATGAGAGAATGGTTGGGAAAGATGTAACTCGTGTCCTATTTTGCGGTCCTCACTTCCCTGATTCCAACAATTTCACCAGAGATTACGTGCAACCTTACCCTTTCATTCAGGTCAAATTCTTCAAATATGTCTTTTCTAAAGCTCTCAACTTTTCTCTCGTAAACTAGTTATTGTTGTGTTAGGTGCTTGTGTTTGAGAATTGGTTTAAACTTTGAAGTAGAGTAAAATGTGTACCAAGAAGACCCTTATTCTAAGTTTTCTGAGAACTAAAGCTTTGCAGATTCCTGTAATAAGAATCTTCACAAACTGAGTAGAAAGAAAATCTTCCAATTATAGGTTGATGTTGTCCCTCTCGGTGATGTTCCTGAGGTTATAAAGAACTACCATATATGTGTGGTTAAGTCGATGCAATTGGATTCAAATGTTATATCTCGTGCCACCAAAATGAAGATTATTATGCAGTACGGTGTTGGTCTCGAAGGTATCTGTCTCATTATTTCTTGCACTCAATACCTGAGACAGCATAAAGTGTATATCTTTAATGAAAGTGGTATGCTCTTTAGCTTTTTTTTCCTTGTGATTTACCTGTGAAGGTGTTGACATTGACGCTGCTACTAAAAATGGGATTAAAGTCGCTAGAATTCCCAGTGAGGGTACTGGAAACGCAGCATCTTGCTCCGAAATGGCTATATATCTAATGCTGGGCCTTCTTAAGAAACAGGTGGCTTATCTCTTTGATTCTATATAGTTCCATTACTGTATATACGTCTTAATCTCCCAAGTAAAGTTTAGAACTTGGACATGTAATCTTGTTGCAGAACGAAATGCAGATTTCCGTGCAAAGCAGACTACTGGGACAACCAACCGGTGACACGCTTCTTGGTAAAACTGTGAGTCTTGGTGTGATCTTATATCTTCATTCTATATCTTTGGTTTGTGTCCCTTACGACGGGTTCTATTTCCTTTCTACTGTACAGGTATTTATCTTGGGATATGGTAACATTGGAATAGAGCTGGCCAAACGGTTAAGGCCATTTGGTTCGAGAGTAATAGCCACAAAAAGAAGGTGGCCTGATTCCAACATCGACTCAGACTGTATGTGATCTCTGTTTAAAATCCTCTGTTTGCCTTGACAAACTCATCCCGAGGTCTAGTAATTTTTGTTAACTTCTATCTTCAGCCAGTCTAGTTGATGAGAAAGGTAGCCATGAAGACATTTACACATTTGCGGGCAAAGCCGACATTGTCGTCGTTTGTTTGAGGCTCAACAAAGAAACGGTAATGATAAACTTCTCTTTCATTTTAGACTGGTCATGCACATGAAGAGATGTGACTATCAGGCTGATAGTTTGGCTATGTAACTTGATGTGTGCAACTGATAGTTTGTACAATTATGTTTTTTATAACTTTCAGGCAGAAGTTGTGGACAAGAAGTTCATAAGTTCAATGAATAAGGTGGATGCTTGAGGAGATTTACGTATGACAAAACCGAGATGGAATCGGATTAAGATGAGTGATGACTGGTGATATCTCTTGTTGTTTCAGGGTGCTCTTCTTGTGAATATTGCCAGAGGCGGTCTAATTAACTATGAATCAGCTTACCAGAATCTGGAGTCCGGTCATTTAGGAGGCATCGGGATCGACGTGGCATGGTCTGAACCGTTTGATCCAAACGATCCAATTTTGAAGTTCAAGAACGTTATAATAACTCCTCACGTCGCAGGAGTTACCGAATATTCATATAGGTCCATGGCCAAGGTAAACTATCCGAGGAAAAAATATTCACTCTCTTCATATATTTTCTGCATTTTGGTCTGAAATGATACTATACTCAACTGATATAAAACGCAGGTCGTTGGAGACGTCGCACTACAGTTGCATGAAGGACTTCCTCTCACCGGAATCGAATTCGTCAATTGATGTGATTGCATTTTAGTGTAATCTCGTGACAAGAACCATTATTACGTTATACTGTGAATTTATTCAGTATCTATTATGCTAACTGAGAAATTAATACAAGTCTCTCTTTGATAACTTCGTTCATTGCAAAATTTATAGATAGGTCTCTCATATTTTACTCGGAGTTTTGAACATTCAAACATTTTTATGACTAGTCTTGACCAAAACAGGTAATCTACATACCCGGTTATAGACTCACTAACCTATACTGTAATCTTTCCAGTTCTGTCTACAGAATTGGATACGCATGGATCAGCGTCGTCAAGCTTTCTCACGACCTCTCTCATGCTTGGTCTGAGATTCGGGAGCTTCGTAACGCAGAGAAGACCCATTTTCAGAACCTTGATCATGCTTTCTTCTACGTAAGACGACAAAACTTGCTTGTCTAAGACGTTCCTAAGGTTCCTTCGATCTTGTTGAATCTGAGAGAAGACATAGTCAACAATGTCTTTGCCCTCTCCAAACCGGTCTTCCATCGGCCGAAGACCGGTCACTAGCTCCAGAAGAACCACTCCGAAGCTGTACACGTCACTCTTCTCCGTCGCCTTGAAGGAGTAAGCAAGCTCTACAGTCATCACATCACAACCAAAGAAAACAACAGCTTTCATCATGTGAACCAAAGATGAATCTTCCCGGCTTAAAACCAAATTTGACCGTTATGTTGAAAATGCAAAACTGGTGAAAAACTCACCAGGAGCCATATATCCATGAGTACCAGCAACACAACTCCATTCATATCCCTTGTCTGCAACTTTCGCAACTCCAAAATCTGCTATTTTCGACTCAAAATCTCCGTCAAGCAAAATGTTGCTTGACTTTATATCTCTATGAATGATCGGAGGACTACAATCATGATGCAAATATGCGATTCCTTTAGCAGCTCCCACCGCGATTTTATACCTGTTGTGACAAAAGGGATCAAAATGATCAATTTATTTAGTGTAATCTTGGATCTATACTTAAACCACTTATCCAGACTAAAGAGTAGAGAACAAACAATACCTCTTTTGCCAATCCAATTCCGGTAATCCGCCTTTAATATTCCGTCGAAGAGCCTGATACAAGTTCCCATTCTCCATGAACTCAAACACCAAATAGCTAGAACCTCTTCCGACTAAGCAAGCGTAGAGCTTCAACACGTTTCTATGTCTAATCTTCCCAAGAATCTCCATTTCTGCAAAAGAGACCTCTGTTCCGTTGACCTCTTCTTCTCCTCTCCTCAACCACTTAACCGCCACTGTCCCACCGCCCTTTTTCAGATCAACCCGGTACACTTTTCCCGCACCACCAGCTCCGATCACGTGCCCTTCATCCAACCTGCAAATCTCCTCAGCGTCCAACTCCATTTGATGGAAAGACGCTATTTTCCATTTCGCATCCTCCTTGTTGACATCTCCGTTTTCCGAGTCAAGCTCGCGTATCTTGGCAACTCTGTAACGCAGAGCGAACAGACCAGTCACGAGCACTACAAGAGCTATTGCAAGAGCCAAGAACAAGAGAGTTCCGTCGAGTGATCGGCTCTTCCTCACGCGTTGGTCGCCACTGCATAAGCTCAGAGCGGGTTTCTCGCTTGTTTTGGCGTTATGATCGTCGACGCAGAGCTTCTCGTTGTGTGAGAACGCGGTGGATCCTCCCACCGCTAAGAGATCAGGTGGTATTCTTCCTGAAAGTTGATTCTCAGACAAATCTATGAAACTCAGCTTCAGCTTTACAAGATTGGTCGGGATTTGCCCTGTTAGCCCGTTGCCTGAAAGGTCTAGCGAGTTTAAAGAAGTGATCTGAGATAAACTATTGGGGATTTCTCCGGTCAAAGAGTTCTTGGCAAGATTCAGATCGACAAGTCTGACACAGTTTGTCAATCCGACGGGGAAATAGCCTGTTAATGAGTTGTTTTCAAGATGCAGAGAAGATAACTGTTTCAAATATCCAAGTTCCGTCGGGATTTCGCCGGAAAGACTGTTGTTGCTCAGATAAATCCTCTCTATATTTGTCAGTTTTCCGATTTCAAGAGGAATCTTACCGGAAAATCTGTTGTTCTGCAAAATTAGCTGGTTTAGCTCCGTTGAAAGTCCGATATGAGAAGAAATCTCTCCGGTGAGACTGTTATCGCTGAGATCGATCATCTTAGCAAGTGGCAGAGCCCAGAAACCTTCAGCAACATGGCCAGTTAAACGATTCTGGTTAATCCTGAGCCTCAAGAGTGATTTGCAGTCGGCGTAGGACCCCGGAATCTCGCCGGAAAAGTCATTCTGCAGGGCGAGCAAGAATCGTAGTTTATTGTTTCGGCATAAGAAACCAGGAAATGGACCTGTAAACCCGTTCTCAGATATATCAACCGTGTCCAGCGGCGAGAACCGGCCAATATTCGCCGGAAATTCACCGGAGAAGTTGTTTCTGTAGATCGACAACGAAGCGAGGAAACGCAATTCTCCGAAACCAGAGGGAAATTGGCCGGAGAAATTGTTTTGGTTGCAGTGAAAAACCCTGAGATCCTTGAGATTCCCGATTTCTCGAGGTAATACACCACTCAATTGATTCATGGAAACATCCAGCTCTCGTAATCGAACAAGGTTTCTGATCTCCGGTGGGATTTTACCGGTGAATCTGTTGTCGTACAACTCAATCTTGGTGAGATTCACCAATCTAGTGATCGATATCGGGAAATCGCCTGAGATTGCGTTTGTCGCGACGTCGAAAGTGTCGAGAGAATGTAGATCGAAGATCGATTCTGGGATCTGACCGCTTAAGTTGGAGCGAGCTAAGTAAAGCCAAGTCAGTTTCTTCAAACCCCCAATACTCTTTGGAATCTCACCTTCTTCGTAGGCATTGTTGCCGAGACCGAGTGAAACCAACCGAGTCAGATTCCCAACCCAACTCGGAATCTCTCCGTTGAGGAAATTCACGGAGATGTCGAGGATTTCTAGGTTTTTCAGTGAGGAAAAGTCGGGGACCGTCCCGGAGAGTCGATTGGAGGTGAGATTGAGGACTCTAAGGTTTGTGCAGTTGACTATCTCCGGCGGGATTTTGCCGGTGATGATATTATAGGGAAGCGAAAGCGTAGAGAGCTTTGTGAGAGCCGAGATCGCCGGAGAAATGGAACCCGAGAGATTAGCGTTCCCCAGAGAGATACCGGTGACTTCGCCGGAGAACAGGTCGCACGTGACGCCGCGAAATCCGCAGGGAGAGTCCGAGGGTTTCCAAGATCGGAGAACGCCGTGAGGGTCTTCGAGGCGGTTTTTGAAGCGAAGCAGAGCTTGCTTCTCAACGGTCGATTCGACATTTGGCGGGAAAATTGAGAGGAGAATCGTGGCGGCCACGGTGGCGAGCATGCCGCCTCGGAGGCCTGGTCTTCTCGTCATTTACGGTGATATTTAAGGGCAAAACGGTCAGTTCCGAGCTTAGGACTTCATTGTGGTCGATGCACTGGAATTCACCTAGTTCATAAAAAAATATAACTGAAATCAACAAACCAACCACTAAAAATATTTTTTCACTTATCATAATTAATTACAATTAATCATCCACTATGTGAATCACTTTCCAAATAGATGAACAATATTAGAAAAATGAGGAAAAAACAATTTACTAAGAAGATATACTAATGTCTATCTGGATGGTCATGATATTTGTGATTTGCCGATTGCGTTTAGTAGTATTATATTATTATTCCATACATACATATATGAAATATTAAAAAAAAAATCAATCAATCATGATAAAGATTTTGTAAAAAGGAATGGGTTCATGGGATTCTCACCTAGTTTTATATACGAATAACTAATTGGCTATACAACTCATATAAAAAATGTGAAGTTAATGAACTTTTGTAAATGGACATATAAAGCTTGCTTATGTATAAAACATACAGAAACTCCATAAGTGAGCTTTAAAGGTACTCATTACAGTGCAGAAAGTTTATTTTCCTTGTGCTTATGATTAGTTTAACAATTTGCTTTGAACGTAAAGCAAATGATCAACTTTTCACTCTCTGCTTCTTAATCTATGAATAATCTTATAAAACCATTGAACTTTTAGTGAACAAGGAAGAACCAATATTATTGAGGATAGAGTATAGGTTACGGACTAATGATTAAAAAGGTAACTACATAAACAATCAAGTTTAAAACCGATGAAGCCTTTGTTAAAAAAGAGTTTAAAACCGATCACAGATCATATTATAGTGGATAAAGTAACAATTTGTTAGTACACTAGCAAGGAGATCTCCAACTTTTCCATAATTTTTTTCCTTTAAATCTTTTGATAATAAACTAACCATAGATTGAGTAAAACAATTGTGGGGGAGGCTTAAAGATTCAAACGAAGAGCAACTTATAAAACAAAAGATAATGAAGAATTGAACCTGAAATAGATGAAAACGATCCAGAATCTCAGGGTGGTGAACTATCTTCTTAAATCTGTTGAAGGTAAATTTTAAAGATTTGTGGTATCCTGGAAAAAAAAAGACCTTTTTGGGTGACTTCCTTTGGACTACTTTCCAGGGAAATCTATTGGAAACGACAAAAAGCAAAAAGAAGTTCTGATTTCGAGGGGGTTCTTCGAATACACCAGATCAGCTGATTCGCAGATAAACTGGAATGAGAAGTTATATGGTTTATCTCAAAAGATAGAATTAATTATGTGAAGAACAGATACAGAGAAGGATGTCTCCAAGAAATACGAGAGATATAGATTTTGAAGATGGAGAGAGGATAGATAAAAGAGAAGTGACAAGAGAAGGTTGTCGTGAGACATGGAGCCAAAAGGTTCGTCATTTATCTTGAAATCGACTCTCTCACCATATATTTCAATTTTCGTGAAAGTTATAATTTCTTTTAAAAGTAAAGTAATAAAAATTATTTGAGTATACTGAATAATGGCCTTTCGTTTCTACAGTTAGCATCGTTTTCAGGTAAATATAAAAGGATATAAAATCCAACGGTGCTCATATAGTTGATTTTTAATAGTATAAACAATATTAAACAACAGACATTGACGTTTACAATATAGTTCATCGCTGTAAACATTCATTCATCTTTTGGTTAATGTTTCTAGATAATTTTTTTTATATATATATAAGTATCAAGAAATGAAATTATTCACTAGTTTTCGTTTTAAGAGTGTGAGAAACTGTGGTTTTTTTTTTCGCACAAGAAATAATTATTTGGAGTTGGAGTTGGTGTATTATATCAGTGAATAAAAATAATAATTATTAGAGTTATGATGAACAACGAATCGAATTGATCCCAAGTAGTTAGGCAGATAAAAAGAACATTTTGGTTTCTTCTGTACTGTTAATATTCGCTTATAGTCCGGGAAATCAATTAGAAGAACATAAGAAAAAGAAAATTAAAATGTTGTTGCGTCGATTACCCTTTTAAGTGAAGTTTGATAAGAATCGTCTAACCTCCTCAATGTCTTTTTCCTTCTACATCCGTCTCTCTAATGTTATCCCCTCTCTGATCCGAATCCAGTTCTGGTTTATCTCCCATTTTATATTACACATTTATTATGAAATACCAATAATTGGTAATTCTCTTTCTGATCATGCTTATCAACGAGCAATGGCCTATGGCTTTGTTCAGCCATTTTTTTTTTTAAAGTAAAGAATTTGTGGGGTTATTAACTATCAAGTAACATCTAATAACAAATTATGCATCCTGGAAGTAATCTTATTGTGTAGTAAATATAGTTGAGTCACTAGCTTTGTATTCATCCTCTCTTGTAAACTATACAACAATTGACAATATAATAACAACATTTTTGTTTTTTACATCTTTTCTTATATTCTTTATTCGTTGATTCTATAATGGTTTTTGCAACAACTACTAATCGTTCTTTCGATATCTAATTAATGTCGGTTAATTGGAAAGAAAGAGGGCTTAAATTATGTGATTTATGAGTATCAAAGAAAGATCTTGGATGCTGACTTCCCCAGCTGTATCCACTTCCCTTTCGAATTTGGTTCATTTCTTTTCCCGTCGCTGTCCTTATTCTTTCCCTATACATATAGTATACATACAATCAAGAAAAGTTTTCTTCTGATATTTCGTTTTACTACCTCCCCAAGAGAAGACATTGGTAAAGATTAAGGACACTATAGAAGTTAAAGTTAATAACGTAGGAGATAATCCCTATGTTATTACAATCAATTTTTTTTGGTCGACATATAAAATTCATTTATGTTTTGAAAATCCAAACCGGAGATATAAAATCTCCATAACTAACATCAAACTTTATGGATGCTGTTACAATCATTCATTTTGGACTAAATATGATATTATGTATGCTATTCGTTAGAGTTTACTAAAATCGATACTTTATAAAGAAAAATTTAAAAAAGAAAAACATAGTTCAGTGATCCTTATAGACTTTGAAATGTTTTTTTGGTTTGAGGTTTTGTATAAAAGATTTACACATAACATAGTGTAATCTAGAATTGACATTTCCATCAAGTAAAGACACTACTGGAAGGCAAAATTTCACTAAATTTGTTGATAGTCTATCAAAGAGAACACTGAATAGGTGAGGTTTTCAGTGAGAGAAAAAATAAACTAGCTAAATAGTGATAGTAGGGCCGAGGTTAGCTAGCAATATAAATTTATACAATAATGTAAATGTGGTGGGTTTCCATAATTCGTATCGTAGGACCGTACAGCAATGATAATAATATTGATCAGATCTGATAAGAAGAGCATATCTGTCTCCATACCTCTAATAACACAACGTCACGTCATTACTAAACATTTGTTTACAAGACACAAGATTATGCAACTTCATGGGCGATTCTTCATAGTACCTTATATATCTTTCTTTATGTAATACCCGTTATAGGAACCACCAAAATGTTTTCATTTTTTTTTTCTTTCATTTTTAGGCTCATAAGAACGTTATCACATGAATCTCATAGCTAACGGTACCATCGATGCACTGAATTTGAAGTCGTCTTTGCTTTTAAAATTTTTATTCTTTTTTTTGGCATGAAACCAATTTGATAGATTGAGCAATTTGTAAAACGTAAACATTTTAGGGAGGCCTAGATGAATATTTACAATTTGTCATATAATTTTATGTGCTTGCCGTAAGTTACAATAAAACTGAATCATGAAGAAAGAAACCCATAGGTGATTTGGTGACGAATGCATTTAATTTATATCGAGGCCATAAGATAGGAGACACGTTTTGAAGATGGATTTTGAGGAAAAAAAAAGAGAAGAAGATGGGTTTTGAGGCGGTGATCGAGTTCAGTCAGTGGAGCAACGTCACTTTCGGGACATGCACATGAAAAAGATGACTCTATCACGCCTATGTGTTTTTGAGTGTTACATGTGAACAGAATCCCCGACCTATGTCTATGCACGTGTGATCATGTTGAGACAAAAAAATTGTGGCTCTATCTTGTGGTCCACTCATCTACCATGTCACGTTGTGTTGTCTCTCTCTATGACTGACTGTTCAACACTTGGAGACTAATACGAAATTCACTTTTAATTTTAGGCAAAATGACGAAAAATGTACATCTGAAATAACCGGGTTTTATCAAGTGAAATGTTGGGCTAGAAGCGCTTGTTATGACTTTTCAGCAGCCACTGAGGTAAAAACCCACCAAGGTTTCTAGAAGAGGACCACTCAATCTCAATGGTTTCACTTTAGCTATGAATACTGATGCTTGTGAAAGATAATTGAGACTGGAGTCAAGTTCTTGTTCTTATTCTATGATCCCATCAACCTCACAGTTTCTACAGTCAAACCGGAATCGACACTAAGTCATGAGTGGAATGGTCAAAAAGACTTATTTGTAGGTTTCAGAATGAGGAAGATGATAAATATATGGTTCAAAGGCTTTTTTGTTCTATGATCCTATCATCACCCATTTCAGTTTCAGTAGTCAAAAAGAACCATTGGGTATTTTACAGAGGGAAATGACCAAAAGACAAAAATAAAAGGTAAACACATCTCTCAGTTCGTCCACTGTGACGTATAATGTTAAAAATCATTGATTCACGAACCGGCATGACGGAAATAGAGAACCGAGCGGTACAGAGCAGCAACATGGAGGAAACAAATCAAGGCTATGAGCAGATCATCAAGCAAACCGACTATCCCCAGAACTCCTAACAAACATAGTTAAAAATGATTTGTGAGAAGACAGATATGATTCATAAAATCAACAAAAAAAAAAACAGACGAATCACCTTCTGGAATGATATCTATTGGACTGATAATGTAAACAGCACTGAGAATCATCTGCATCCAATGGAAAGAAACTGATTTAGTCTTTTGAATCCAAATTGGAACTGTGACAACCCAAAGCACGAATAATCTTTGTAAACAGAGAGATAAAGATTATGAATTTTGTCGAAACTTAACTGCGATATAAACTCGAGCCCTAATGACAAGTGGAAGCGTTCTTTGTGGATCCATCATTTCCCGCATCAACCTGCGGAGTAAGAAGGGTAGGTCTTGCATCCTCTGCCAAGAGAAAAAAAGAAGTTCCATATGAGAAATTTGACTTTACAACTCCAGATTTTACCAGTTACGACCTTACGGCGATACTTGAAATTCTTATCCATTCTCAAATGATAGAAACAATTTTCTTTTTTACACAGAATGATGAACAAGCAACTAGGAATACAGACATAGTTGACGTACCTGAACTAAACTACTTGATCGTCCGCCAAAGAGTCGGTTATACGTTTCAAGATTGCCAAGAACCTCGGCGACTGTACGGTCATTACGGTCACTGATTGTTTCCTCCGAAGGAACGAGCAAACTTATTGGACGACGACACAATGGGCATTTGCATGGCTGTAATGTGGATCCATGCCTCCACACTAGCATAATGCAGTTTCCTACAAATGATTGAAGAAGAGTTAAAAGAGACGGAGGTCACAACGTGCTGCAATGAAAATCAAGCAAACCTCATACTAGACCTGTGAACATGCAGAACACACTTAAACCCAAAAACATTTGGCTCACAAACCAAACTAGGGGGAAACAAAAAGATAAGAGTAGACCTAACATAACGTAGAAATGAATGACACTGGGAGCTTTCTCTTGGTTATACCAATTCTAGGCATATAGAGGTCGAATCTCATTGAAAACAAGACACAAACTATAGCCCATGCTTGCAAACTTCAATGGAATACACAGTTCTTAGAGATATTAGCATGAAGAAAAGTTCATTGACTCTAAGTTATTAGTAAAGCAACTCTGAAACTACTGACCAATCAATACAAGAATCTGTAATCCGTCGTGATCTCTTTAGAGAAAAGGATGTTCAAGTTTGGAAATTTCAGATTCAGGAAAGCTCACATGTCAAATAACAAGACAATCAAGGAGAAACAAGAGTAAATGTCAAAAAAAGTCAAACATAAAGCGGGAAGCTACGAAATCATTCATTCCAAAATCCAAACTCTACACTTGAGATTCTAAATGCAACACAAATCTCATACTCAAAGCCATTATTAGCAACGATCGGAGAGACCTCGTCGGCAATAAAGTTCCATTATCTAAAATAAAGAGCCAGAAAGGGAAACAAAAATCGAAAACAACAAAATCGTCCGATGTCATGGAACCGAATTAGCGAAGATACAAGAGAAACCGAATCAAGATGCGAAAAAAGCTAAGACTAGAAACAAAGATTGATTCGAAATTCGAGGAAACAAACAAAGAAAAAACGAGGGTAGAGAGAGAGAGAGAGAGAGAGAGAGAGGTCACCGCAGAACCAATGGGAGCAATTAGCTTGGCAAGGAGCGGTGAAGTGGGCATGGCATATCGAACAAAGATCGTTCTCCGGCGGCCTATTCATCTCCGATTCTCTTCTCCTTCGCCTTTCGCTGTCCTTTCTGAAATTTTCGTACCACTTTGAAAGATTTCGAGTCGGTGATTGTGGCGGTCCATCGGAACTCAGATCGGTTTATTCTTCATTTCAATTAGCGGTTTGGGTTATTCGCGGTTTGCAAATTTTCAACACGAGACGGCATCGTTGGCATGTGAACAAGGAAACGACACCGTTTATTTTTGTTTTCTTTCTTTTTGACATCATCTAGAATTAAGACCTCTTTGAGGTTGAGGACTTGTTAATTCTGTTAAAAAAGAAACAAAAAAGGGAACAACAAGGTGTGGTTGATATTATAACATTGAAATCAGTTTGTTCAAAACCATTAACATAAGAAAAAGAGTTTTACATTTTGGTATTATCTCAAAAGACTTGTCCTTGCAGGTTTAGGAAACAATTCAACAAACATTGTGTGATAGCCTCTGTTTCTGAATGCCCTGATCTTCGCATGGCTTACTTGCTTTCCGCTTTACCATTGTTTTCTACTCCTCCGTAGCCTGCAACAACCCGGGAAAAAAAAAGAGACTCAGGCTCATGTTCTTTTACTTTGTAATGAATTTTAGAAGATTAATTGTTCAGAGGTATAACCCAAAATTGATATCCATGGAAGATGATCACTCAGGAGTGGAATATCAGGATGTCTAAATTAGCATCCTGCTTTATGTTCTGCTTTTTGTGTTACTCTACTTAATCGCAAATTATAAACATGTGGGCGTTGATGATGGAACTTGAAAGAGATAAGTGGTTTCAGCCTGGTAAGTACCAAAGTTTATGACTATATAGAATGACACATATCTAAACTCTATGTGATGATATTTACCAATTCATACGTAGTTCAAAATTTGAACTTGAAGTAGCAATCACTTCGACACAAACAAGCATGCATTTGTTTTTCGAATAGGAAAAACCACAACACTAAAGACAATGCTCAGAATGTTGAATTAGTGTTACCAAAGCAAGGATGCATGTATAGAGATGTGATACCAAATTACAAACTTTAACGACCCGTTGCTCAATTCGCTCAATTCACAGTCATAGGCAAAAATGTTGCTCCTTATAATCCTTCAGCTACAGTCAAAACCTTTACACTCTCGACAACTTCTCTAACATTTTCTCCTCTTTTACCACACTATAGTATCGAGTCCCCAAACAAATACGCATTTAACAAAAGAAATTCCAACTAACCTGAGATACAGAAGTCTCTGTACTCTTTGGAGCTGCTAGATTAGCTGAAGATGAAGAAGGTGCGTCAAAGGAACGAGAGCAATCTGTGTATGCAGAGCCAATACCGATTCCAGCACCAAAAGCAATCGATGCCCATCTTGTAGCAGGACTCCCTATACAGAATCAGAAACTATCTTATGAAAACAAAAGGGAAATCAAATTTCAAGGCAAGTAACTATGAAGGGAATAACAATTTTAAACAACAGACTGGAACAATATATGATTCATATTGGATTAAAACCCTATCTCTCCATCGTGTATCTTCAATTCATTCGAAGAACCTAAATTCGTAATCACACTCCGTATCCATCCTCAAACAAGTAAATATTTATCAGTCAGATTACGAGATTCGAGTTGAGAGATTGAAACACCGAACTGAAGAACAGAAGACCGGCGAAAGCGCCGCCGAGAGAGGAGTAGACGAAACGACGGGTCGTGAGATCGAGACATGCGTCCCACTTAGCATTCACATCGTATTCCGGTGGCACACTATCCTTTTTCTCCGCCATTTCTCGGAATCGATTTCCTTTTCCGATTGATTGATTGATCCCTTCTGAGTTTTTCTTCTTCCGTTGTTCGTGATTCCCCCTTCGATCTACAGAATTTGTGCACACAAGAAAAATGGGCTCCAAATTGGGCCCAATTTGATTGGACAGTTTCAGGCCTCTTCTCTTTGGTTTTTAGATCTTATTATTTCGGTTTATGAAAACATTTGCAAAATTTTAAAATAAAAATCTATAACATGTAAATATGCCATTTTTTGTCTACCATTTGGAAATACTATAACAGTCATTTCTTGTTTCTACTGATGATACTGTAACAGTGTCTAAGCGAATTACATTAGAATTTTAAACCGAGTCAACCGAGACAAAATTTACGTGGAGCAGTGAAGGAGTCACGATGTCAGAAGAAACAAAAGAAAAAACAAACGAATATAGTACCAAAAAAATAATCTGTGTTTCACGTGGATGGTACTCGTCAATTATCATTGGATTCCAGTTTCCAGATTATTTTTTTTTGGATCACACCAATGTTCCAAAATCTAATTACTGTATGTAATTGATGCGAATATACGTAAATTAATTATTAATAACATAATTAAAAAAGCCTAATCATCGTTTTAGAAGCTTTTGGAGCATATCGTAAATGTCGTCGCAAGCTGACGACAACAAAGAAACCGGTTCGATCGACGTGACCAATATACCCTTTTCTTACATACGACACTTGAACGCACTTTTGTCTCCTCCACTTCGTATGTATAAACCCAAAATCAATTGCCTGATTTAGAAAAATCGCAGAACAAGACTGCAAAAGTTAGAAAGGAAAAAAAATGGCGGAGGAAGCGATTACTACCATTCTATCTACGCCGGAAAATCAACCATCTCCGGGACTGACGACGGACCCGGAAGAGTCGAAGTCTACTCAGGAAGTTGTGGCGCCAAAAGAGACGGAAACTCCGGCGAAAGATCCGCCGGAAACGGCAGAAACCACCTCCAAGTTGGAAGAAGAAACTGCGGCGGTTAAGCCGGAGGTAACGCCGGCAGAGCATCAGTCTCCGACGGTGACGGAAACGGAAACGGCGTCGACGGAGAAAAAAGAGCTCGGAGACGAGACGCCGCAGAAGGAAGAAGCTGGTGAAGAAGAGAAGAAGAGAATTCCGCAGAATCTTGGTTCGTTCAAAGAAGAAAGCAGCAAGCTTTCCGATCTATCCGATTCCGAGAAGAGATCTCTGGATGAGCTGAAGCATCTTGTGCGAGACGCTCTCGAAAATCACCAATTCGGTTCAATCCCTAAACCGGAAGACGCCAACACACCGGAAGAAGTCACGATTTGGGGTGTCCCCTTGCTTAAAGACGATAGAAGCGACGTCGTTTTGTTGAAATTCCTGCGAGCTAGGGATTTCAAGGTGAAAGATTCCTTGGCCATGCTCAAGAACACAATCAAGTGGAGAAGGGAGTTCAAGATCGACGAACTTCTCGAGGAAGACCTCGTGGATGATCTGGACAAGGTCGTCTTCATGCACGGACACGACCGAGAAGGACACCCTGTGTGCTACAATGTCTACGGTGAGTTCCAGAACAAGGAGCTTTACAACAAGACGTTCTCAGATGAGGAAAAGAGGAAACATTTCTTGAGGACGAGGATTCAGTTCTTGGAGAGGAGTATAAGGAAGCTAGATTTCAACTCCGGTGGAGTTTCCACCATTTTTCAGATTAATGATATGAAGAATTCTCCTGGATTGGGGAAGAAAGAGCTTAGATCGGCGACCAAACAAGCCGTGGAGTTGCTTCAGGACAATTATCCTGAGTTTGTCTTTAAACAGGTACACTAGTTTAGTTTAGGTTCGTTTGAGTATGGTAATGAATATGATGGTTTACTGAACTGAATCAGAAGACTTTTTTATCATCTTTAACAGTATGTCCTTGGTAAATGAGCATAGTATCTTATTGCACTCTTCATAGTCTGAGACATTTTTGGTTCAATGTTCTGTTGATCAATTTTTTCAGGCCTTCATCAATGTTCCTTGGTGGTACCTTGTGTTTTACACTGTGATTGGTCCGTTCATGACACCACGATCAAAGAGCAAGCTGGTGTTTGCTGGTCCATCAAAATCAGCGGAAACTCTTTTCAAGTAAAACTCTTTTGAAAGATTTCTAGTGATTCCGCTTGTTTGTTTAGTCTCTTTATGACTTTTCTGACTCATGTATGAATAAATGTGGACTATAGATACATCTCACCAGAACAAGTCCCGGTACAGTACGGAGGATTGAGTGTAGATCCTTGCGACTGCAATCCAGACTTCTCCTTGGATGATCCAGCCTCCGAGGTCACTGTTAAGCCCGGAACTAAGCAAACTGTTGAGATCATAATCTATGAGGTTAGTGCATTACCACCTTTTAACTACTCATTAGTGTAGTATCAATTTCTCAAAACATTACATAGTTGTGTGAGATGGCACCAAGGTCTTTGAGTCATGATGCTATTAAATTTCTATGCAGAAATGTGAGATCGTGTGGGAGATAAGGGTAATTGGATGGGAAGTGAGCTACAAGGCAGAGTTTGTGCCGGAAGAGAAAGATGCTTACACGGTGGTTGTACAGAAACCGAGGAAGATGAAACCAGCTGATGAACCGGTGTTAACACAGAACTTCAAAGTGAATGAGCTTGGCAAGGTTTTACTTACAGTAGACAATCCAACCTCTAAGAAGAAGAAGCTCGTTTACAGGTTCAATGTCAAGCCTCTCTGATTTTAAAATCAGCTGAAAATGTGGTTTCTGGCCTTTTTGCTTTTCTTGAAAACAGAAGTGAGAGATATTTTTCTTATGTGTGTTTTGTATATTTGAGAGTGTTTGCTTTATCTTATAATTATCATTTTGTGTGGTTTATACGATGGAGCTTCTGCATCTTTTGCTATTGTAATCATCTGGGGAAGAATATATATTTTACATGACTTTCTGTAATAAAGATTTTTTAAATCTCAACCGTTTATTGATTGTGTTTGTTTATAAAATCAACTGTATACCGCTGATGAGGTGTTGTGCAACATCAACGATAGTATCACAACTTTATTATTATGTAATTCAATTGAAAGAGATTCGTAAGGCTGTTGATTACACGTTGTAACAACCTCTCGACACTGACATATGTTGTTGTCTGGAGACTGGGAGTGGGTGGAAGAGGTTCAATTTGTGTCTTATTTACCCAGAATTTGTTGGCTGTTGCATCATTCAAATGTCAATTATGAATTGGGAATATTTTGTTCCCCTTCAAAATGAATGTGATTTTCAACATTAAAGAGAAATGTCTTTTATTCTAAACAAAACCATCCACCTACTAATTTTATCAATATAAATATAAAACTGAAAAAATAATTATATACAGATGGATTTTCCGACTATGCCACTATTTCTTTTGCGTTATATATTTTTTCTTTTAAAATATTTTGCGTTATATATTTTTTCTGTTTTCAAAATTCAAGCAGAGAGCACTAACTAAACTTATGTCATAGAAATCAAATGTGTATAATACTTTCTTAGCTAAGTTTAAAAGAGTATATAATAAATGACAGCGAGGAAAATAATTTTAACGAGTATCGACGAAAACTTTTAAACGCTGTTCTGTTCGGCGTTTGATCATTTATGGCCGCCTGTCGCCAATACTAAAACGGTGAAACGAACAAACCAATAAACGTAATGTATGTATAATTTACAAACACATTCACACATACAATATCTAATGTCAACGCATGCATCTCTATTTATGGAAGTGAATTGATCACCAACCATAACTATTGTGTAATTCAATTGTGTGAAAGTGAGACTTTTTAAAAATTTCCTTTGTGAATTAAATAAGGAAAAGCAAAAAGAAGGTTTTTTTTTTGAAGAATTGATGAAGAAGCACATGACGACTATGGCTAGTAGTGAATGTGTTCAAATTTCATTCATGGCTGTTTGTGTTGTGTCGGTCCACGCATGTCCCTCCCTTTTCTATTGTTTTGATTATTTATGCATTTTTCTTATACACTCCGAACTGTCTTCGGACCCGACACTATGATCACGTCCAATTCTTATACGAATTATTCATTTATGTAACAACCATTACAAATTGATGCTTTGTAATGAAAACACTCAACTTTAGCTGCTTTCAAGTTGACACTCTGTGTTCGTTTAATTTTCAATATTCTTGGTTGATCATGTTTAAAAAATTCTTGATTCTAAATATCGATAATTATTGGCTGGATTTGCGACAATGTTTTCTTATTTTGGGTGATGAAGAAAAAACTAAAGGACAATGACATGTATTAATGTATACATTTAACATTTATTTATATTAAGAGATGAAGCTATTTGTTCTAATCATCATGGTAAGGGCCGTAGTTTATATTTATTTAAATATCCCTTGTTACTTTGATAAACATGCGGATTAGACTTAATGTCAACTTTAGAATTAGTGGATTATCAATTTTGAGTAGGCCATAGCCAATTAAACGATTCTGATTTGCATTTGTTTTTCACACCTATCCCAGCTATTCTTTTGTTTTGTTTTGTTTTATGAAGTTTCGTATGTCTTGGTAATATTCCACGTTCAAGACTTGTTAATTTCGGTTTGCTTGTCAATGTTTTTGTTCTGTAGAGCTAATCCGTTTAACATGTTGAGAGTCTTGAGATAATCTAAAGGTCAATTTTCCAAAGAGGCAAGTATCATTCATTCTTATCTGAGCTATACAAGATTAATCCACAAGATATTATTGTCTTTGGCCTTCGCACTCTCAATGCCAAAAGAATTAGATTCGATATAAAATAATAGGAGTAAGATAGAACTTACGGTTAAATATCTTTGATTTTAGTCATGTCAAATATGATGTGTGCTTTGATTTCTTCTCTTATCCACGAATTATATTAGTCCATATTTCAACAATCGGGTCCATTATCATTATTTCTCGTCCTTAATGTCTCATTCAGTGTTATCCATTTCCATAGATTATATAGACAGAGGGACCTTTTTCATAATTATATATTCATTTCTCTCTATCAATATTGATATAACAAGAAGTCCAAATCCAGTCTTGACACGTCTCTTCTCCTTATCTCTTAAACTATATATATCCACTGAACATTATGTTCAAAATATCTATCTCTTGATGATAATACATTAGAATTAAACACATGTAACTTTCAACTATTCGAAGATTTGGTATGGACAAGTTTCCAGTACTTAACCATGAAAAGCATTTGCTTCGGAATGAATTTGATGAACAAGTAAAGAGTTTGACAAAAAAACAAAGAACAAGTAAAGATAAAAGACAGAGAAAGACAAACATATAAATAATGAATACATTTAAGATTTACACAAATTGTACAATAAAAAGAAAAAGGTAAAAGGTAAATTAATGAAACAAAGTGTTCTTTTTTTACTTTTGAATTTTAAATCAAAATATTCTCCACACAAAACAACCCCCAATATTCAAAACAAAGCAAACGTCCCAGCAAAACACAACCACCTTTTGAGATTTCAAAATTACATAATAAATAACAAACTAAATTAATTAATTAAAAATGTGGTTCCCCAAATAACAAAATAACCATTCTTCTTCTTTTTCTTCCTTGGATTTGGGTTATGGTAAAGTAACATATGGTCTCAAGTTTTACTTCAAATATCAGACCTCGGTTGAGTTTTGAACCTGTAGAGCACTTTCTTCTTCTTGGAAGTCTGGTTATCGATTGTGATCACAATCTTGCCCGGTTCACCCACCTTAAAAGAATCGGTTATCACTGGTTCGTCGGTTAACCCGATCTTCCGGTTCTTAGAGACGATTACAGCATAGCTTCCCTCAGTGGTCGGCTCAAACTGAGCTCCGTAGCTCACATCAGCACCCAAAACCCTAAGCTCCCATGAAAGCGTGCAAGCCTGCCACAAATCAACACAATCCAAAATTAACACTCTTATGAATCAACAACATTTATTTTTTTTACAATATGAACCTCTTTAAATCGAAATTCTGAATATATTCACCTCAGAAGCAGGCAAATCGATGGTGTATTGGGCAGCTGGTTTAACGATGGCTTCGGTTACGGTGTCTTCAGTGGTTAAAGGAACATCTTTGCTAAGTCCACCGTATTTAACCGGAACTTGTTCAGGAGCAATGTATCTGTTTCCACCAACAAACAGAAAGCAGAGCTTATTAGTAAGGAAAAAAAAAGCAAGAAAATTTAAATCATCAAATGGTAAATTAATTAAGTGGCTAATTACTTGAAAATTGTATCGGCAGATTTGGATGGACCAGCAAGAACCATCTTGCTCCTAGTCTTTGGCGACGTGACAATAGATCCGAATGTTTTGTAGTAAGGAATGTACCACCATGGGACATTGATGAACAGCTGCAAAAAAAAAAAAAAAAACACAATATTTATAAAACTTTTAACATAACTTTAATTGTAATTCTAATCATGTTTTTCAAGAATAATTCTTTTTTCGTACCTCTCTAGTGGCGAATTCGGGATAATTGTCCTCGAATTGCTTGACGGCACGCCTGATGAATTGCCAAAGAGCTCTCTTTCCGAGTCCAGGAGCGTTCCTGAAGTCGCTGACGAACATAAACGAAGATTTAGCATCAGGGCTTGTGAAATCAAGACCTCTCACACACTTTTCTTGAAGCTGAATCCTCCAGCTCAAGAACTTGTTCAGCTTCTCCTTGTCGGAGAAAAGCTCCTTGTTCTGAAACTCCCCGTATGAGCTGTATATCACCACGTGTCCTTCCTTGTCCACTCCGTGAGCGAACACCATCTTCTCGAACTCGCTCGCTTCTTCTCCGGCGGCTTCGGCTTCGATGAGCTCGTCGATTTTCATCTCTTTGCGCCACTGGACAGTGTTTTTCAGCATCGTCAAGGCTTCTTTAACCTTGAAGTCTCTCGCACGGAGGAATTTGAGAAGGATCACGTCGGATCTCTCGTCCTGGAGGAGTGGAACTCCGTAGATCGATACTTCTTCCGGCTCAACAGGCTCCGTCTCGGCGACGACGGTCTCCACCACCACCGCCGCGGCGGATTCCGGTGGACTAATGGACACGATCGACTCTTCGATTGCTTCCACAGTCTTGGTCCCGTCTTCCTCAGCACCGGAGGCTTTCTCTGTGGTTACGGTGGCTGGTTTCTCTTCTGGTGTCTCCGATTTGGTCTCCGCCGTCTCAGATTTCTCCTCCGGCTTAACGGCTTCTTCTGGAACCGCCGGTTTCTCTTCTTCCTTCTTTTCTTCCTCTGTTTTCTCTTCTCCTTTGGATTCCTCCTCTGCTGGTTTCTTCTCCTCCGGTTTATCTTCCTTAACCGGCGCCGGAGCAGTGAATTCCCGTTTGTTCAAAGCCTCCCTCACGAGCTCCTTGAACTCCTCTAGTGCCTTCTTCTCGAGTTCCTCAGGCGTTGGAACAACCACCTTCTCAACTGCAACCGTCTCTTCCTCCTTCACCGGAGCAGATTTCTCCGCCTCCTCTGATTCCTTCTCCGGCACCACCTTCTCATCCGAGGCAACCGGAGCAGCCACCTCCTCTTTCTCCGGTACCGGAGCAGGAACAGTAACCTCCTTCTCGGTCATTGGTTTCTCCGTGGGGACGACGACATCAGCCGATTTCTGTGCCTCTTCTTGAGCCATCTCTGAGTTTTTCGAAATTCAAGAAAAGAGAGAGAGAGAATATTGGAAAGTGAGAGAATTGTGAGGAGAGAGAAGAGAGGAAGAGAGAGGTTTATAAAACGGAAGGCAAAAGGAAAACACAGACTGGTCGGAGCTGTTTTGACAGCTCATTTCGTTACGCTTTCTCAGTGGGTCCCATTTGTTTTCCTCCAACGGCCGTCTTTTTGCTTCACGAATTAGTTCACTTTCCTATTTTTAACCATTACTAATTTACCATACAACTGTTTCTTTTTTTAATATTACAACATTTCCTCATTTCATATCCTTTCCATAATAAGCTAACACTTATATTATTTACTATTTCTATATATATTCCATATATCATATCTATTCATAAAACCTGATTATAACATATTTTTGGTTAAAAAAGATTTTGAACATATTTTGATGATCTCCTTGATTTTGAATATATTCTACCGCTTTTTGCCTTTTTCTCTCCCTAGTCTTCAAGAATCTCTGCTTAAATATCTAATGTTTACAATTAAAAAATAGAATTTCAAAATAAGATTAAAAAAAAAGAACTATGCTTGAGTTGAGGAAAAAACAGTGGAATCATTTGAGAAGGGGTAGCATGCTAGTCATGTTTTTCTAATAACTTTTCTTTTAAAGTAAAGTGTGTTTCAAATCATGGCACCATGTTATTTCATTACAACAGTCTTAAATATGGAGTATATAATTTTGACTTACTCTTTCTTACCGTAATCACACAGAAAGTATAGAACCCAAGTTCGAATCCAAATATTGTTTTTTCATCTAATAAAAAACTAGCTTTTTAGTGTTTTATAAATTTAGTGAAAATTATTCCATTCAATGTGTTCTGCTAATAATTTTGCTGTTGTTTAGTTATTTTGTTATTCGTCTAACACACTAATCAGACGGTAAATATAGTCTATAATTGATTAAGATATATGATTATTATTGTTAATAACTGATAGATGAGTATTCGCTAATTGTTTACCAAACAAGCAATTGTAACCGTTGTACATTCGTTTGAAATCCATTGATATTTAGGCAATGATTGGTTGGGTTGTAACAATTTTTTACAGCATTTTATTATTGGTTGGATTCCATTTCCATATCAAACTTATTAAGTTCTTACAACCTTATTTTTTTTTTCTAAAGCAAATTATGAAAAGCTACTATTAAAGCTATGGCAAAAGAATTTGTAGAATTAATTATACGAAAAATCTAATATGGGTAATGGTATTGGTAATTATGTTAGAAATTTGGTATTGCAGATTATGTTAGAAGTTTTCGAAGTTTTAATCACAATTATGCAAAGATCGAGAGTCAAATCGCATAATTGTATACGTCAGTAATCTATCGGGATATACAAATATCAACATAATATATAATTGATGAGCGATACGTACCAGCGTTACTGCGTTAATAACATGTTTTCTTTCGCTGTGTGTCCCAGGGATGCCTATCCAAAAAAAAAAAAACATTCATTCCATTTTTTTTTTAAGTTGCTGGCGTATGTATGTAGAACGTTGGAATTAAGTTTGTCTAACCTATATTTTAATATACCTACGTTTTTTTTTTTTTTGGTATGAAATGTTAAGTTAATATACCTACGTTTCATTTGTGAAAACGAAGTCCTAAGGTGTTTTTTTTATGATTCCCAAAGAATCCCATTTGCATGTATCTTATCAAATCAATAAATAAAAAAGACTGTCTCTTTTACGATATTTTAACGCGTCTACGGGGGAAAACAAATTAATTGTTTTATTGGTATATTTAACCTAATTAGTGATAACATAACCGTTTACATTTCATTTTTACACGGCAATTGTAATCTACTCCATCGACATGCTATTAACTGTAAACCGTCATGTAAAAATCGGTAGCGGCGTTAATAATGTATTTTCTTGGCAGTGTTGACGTTTATATATATAGGTTTCATTTGTGAAAACGTATTTTCTTGGCAGTGTTGACCTTTTTACTCATCAAATTATTTATTTTTACGATGTCATATCAGCACATCTGTGAAACAATTGATCCGTTTAATGGTTCCGTTAATAAATGATTGGTATCTAAGGAAGAATAATGGAGTAACTAATAGCATGATAATTTGCAATGGGGGGTTTTTTTTTTTTTAAACACTGAAATTTTTGCGATTCAACTCCGGTCTGTAGCACACCCACCAGAGCTAAAAAAACATCTACAGACCACTTCCCACGTAAAGAAATCCTTCAATGATTGTATTTGCACACATTACAATATATATTGAAACCGTTGTTGATGCGTCGTTGTAATCTATAACTTATGGATTATTGATTCCGAATTGATTGCGAAATCAGATCATAAGGGGAAAATTCCAATAGGTACTTGAGCTGTCAACCCTACGTACGTTTGGCTTTAACCAAATACAGTTATTAAACAGTATTAGATTCATGTCATGTTTTGTATATTTCATATTAGTCGTCAGACTTTTTTTGCCACCTAATATGAATTCATTGAGTATTCTGTATATTCTAAATATTATTGTGTAATTAAATATGTATCCACACCTTCGTATCGATGTATATATATATATATATATATTTTTTTTTAACATGATTGATATACTCTTCTAGTGCTGTTAAATATATGTATATTTGCGTGATATGTATTATGTTTCCCAAAAATCCAACTAATTATTTTCTTTTTCTTATTTTTTTTTTTGAAAGAATGTAAAATTTATTCATCCAAAAAAACCTTTTTACATCAGTTGCTTATTGTTTTTGAACCTTTAAAAGAATCACAATCTATTTTGGAAACTTTAAAAAAATTCTATCGGGTGTCAAACCAACGAGTCAGGCCATCCTCCAGGTCGCCTCGCCTTTGCCTTCGGGTAACAGAGATTTTACCAGCGATTCTAGTTATTTTTTTTTCTTTTTCTTATTTCATGTGTCACATAAGAAATGAACTATGTGAGTTACAATCTCCGTTTCATTAGTCTTGGCCATCATGTACACTTACATTACAAAAATATTTACAACTACTATACTAATTTTCAATTCAAAATTATATCTGCTTATAAGAAACTAAGGGAGAAAAATAATTAGAATCGTATATGATTTATAAAAGAGTTGAAAAAGTAAAGTAGGTACAATTGCGCGGGACCCGGGAGTGATCCGTTAAAAATCCTTCATCGGTTGCTTTTGTCAAAAGAAAAAGAGGAAAGAAGCTGTTTGGTTGATTTTATTCATCGCTGTTGCCATCTTATTATTATACATTCTTGCATTGTATTTAGCTGTTTTTCCCTTTCCTTTTATAATTAACGCACTTACTTATTTTATATATATTCTTAACAAATGATTGATCGCAGTTTTCCGTATACTAATAAGAAATCTATTATGATTGTCTAGGTGGGGGCTAATAATAAAATTATTTTCACACTTAGTTTTTTTATATACGTAGATGCTAATTGATCAGCGTACCTGACTTTTCTTATTTGATCTACATATAATGCGTAGACTTTTTTAAAAAAATTTTAATTTCTATTTTTATGTTGGCAGCAGTATGATATTGTGTGTAAGCAACCATGGAGAAGCTAATTGATAATTTTAAAAATTAGTTGAATAACTAGGGGCAAAAAACGGCAAATAGAGACTATTGGGAAAATAGTATCCGCAATTATACGTTAAGTAACTAGTTTTTGTATATTATTTTCGGACGAAAAGAATCCGGAGAAGACGAAGGCTTCTTTGACTACGTGTTTTTTTAAGACATATCTTAATCAGAGTATAATTGTCTTCTTTTCCCACTGCCAAACTTATTGTGTTATTTTAAGTCTGATACTAGATTTTATTCCGTGCATCCGCACTAGATTTTTTTTTTATAAATCTAAATTTGTAATGTAATTTATATTTTTTATAATATAATTTTTTTAATAAGTGATAAAGATTTTTTTTGTTTAGATATATATTTTTTAAATTTTTTTTAGTATTATTATGACCATGATCATAAAAACATAATTTTATCAAAATCACTCTATTAATAAAAAAAATAATCGTTATTATAAAAACATATTTCTAACTCTCTCATTCTATTAATCTGAAAATAATTATGGTTATGAAATAATAATTCTAACCCGCTTGTTCATATATATTACCATATAATATAAATATTTAATAATTTTGAAATAATTTTTTTTATAATATATTGCATGTTTTGATAACTTAACCCGCATAAAATTATAATTAAAAAAAAAATTTAAACTGTTCCATCAAATTACCATATAATATTAATATTTATTAGTTTTCAAGTAAAATTTTAATTTGATTGAATATGATTAGAAAATATAATAAGATATTTGTTAATTAGATGTGTTATTCTAAAAATATTATTTAAAATTTAAATGTTAAATTAAATCTAACTTATATTTAAATATATTTAAAGTAATTTAAATTAATATCTATTTTAAAGAATTTAATTAATTATAAAAATAAATAATTTAAATTTAAATTAAATATAAGCTATATTTAAGGAATCGTAGTTATCTAAATTAATATTAAATTTTCAAAATTAAATTTATATAGAAAATAAAATATTTTAAAAAAATTTTGGGAATGTTTGATAACAATCACTAAAAGTGTTTCTGTTTTAATATAATAGATGGTAACAGGTTATTGTGTATTAGGCCCAGCTGTTATAAGCCCAAGCTCATCAATTTATCAATTTTATATGCTAATTGATGTATTTAAGAAAGTTGTAAATGTTATTATGTATTTCCTGATTCTCATTTTATTTTTCTAAAGATGTGAGAATCATGGTTTTTAGATATTACTAAATACCGACTTGATTGGTGACTTAAAAACACATATCAGAAACGAAAATGCACAATTCAGTTAAGAAGACTGACCACACAATATTTTTTAGAAGGTGTTTGGTCTATTGTAGACATACGACTTGGCGAACCACAAGTAGGAGGCTAAACTAATGGAGCTTAGAAAAGCGAGTAGCCAGTAGAAGTAATCTAAATGAGCCTGGTTCAGATCGTTATCGAACCAGCTCGTTTGACCTGACTGGCTTGTGACCTTATCAATGACTGATATCATGAAGCTGCTAAGAAAGTTTCCGACCCCGTATATGCTTAGGTTGAAAGCCATACCAGCACTCCTAAGCTCACAAGGGACTTGATCATAGAAGAACTCTTGCAAACCCACCATTGCAAAGACATCCGCGACTCCGTAGAGAACGTACTGCGGAAGCAACCACCACACACTCATCAGTATTGTGGCTTCATCCCGAGCGGTTTGGAGCCTTTTAGTCTCAACCAAGGCGGCTACTACCATAGCAAGAATGGAGAGAAACATGCCTGTGCCAATCCTCTGAAGTGTTGTGATTCCTAATGGCTTTTGAGGGAAGGAACTTGCGATAGGAACAAGTAGACGATCGTAGATTGGGATAAAAATGACCATTGTTAGACTTGTGAAACATTGGAATGTAGCTGCAGGGACTGAGAGTCCTGGTGAGATTGACCTGTCCATTGTGGCTCCTTGCTTTGTAAAGAAAGTATGGGACTGTGCACATACAATGGCGTAGACTAAGCAAGTCATCCATATGGGAACAAGCTTAAGCACTGCTTTTGCTTCTTCAATTTCAGCCATACCACATGAAATCGCTGCTTTGTCAAGGAATCTGCCATATTACATTTATAGAGGATCCAAAGTGGTATAGTCACAATTGTGCCCTGAAAAATATTCTAAAAACAAAGAGTAACATTTCTCTATATAATGTTACCTGAATTGCTTTGAATTCTGGCCAGGGAGAAGGAGGGTCTCATTGGGGTTATACATATCTAAATCTGGTTGTCTTCTGTTCTTTATGGCCTCCATAAAAACATGGCTGATTCTAGCAAAAGGGTTTTTCTTTTCTCTTCTTGCAGTGCTATAACGATAAGTCTTAGTTCCAAGTAGGAAGAGAAGGAAAGATAGTAGCATGGAAACACTTGGAATACCAAATCCCAAGGACCAACTTAGGTTCTCTTGAATAAAGATAGAGATCAAACGAGTGGACAATATGCTAATACAGCTCCCAAACATCAACCAATTAAAGTAAGAGCTCTTGGCTTTTGTCTCTTTTAAGTCATCTCCATCAAGTTGCTCAGCTCCAAATACCTTAATACACGGTTTGTAACCGCCATTTCCTATGGCTATAAGATACAGAGAACAGAAGAAGAGAGTCACTTTGAATTTATTTGGATCTTCCCGTTGAGAAGGAATCACGGCTGAAAATGACAGCTGTCCAAGTCCCTGTTTGTTTCATCAAATAAGATCTTCCTCTAATTAGGAACAATAATAAAAAAATTCTAGTGACAAATTAGATTTATGTAGTAGATATGACAGTTTTTAGCACTTGCAAGAGAGGCAGTCAGAACATGACTCCAATTTTTTTTTTTTTTTTTTTTTTTCAAATATGCATGTAAATCGGAATTTTACAAATATATTACACTACAATCAATATACACTAAAAAGAAATTGAACAATATCTACAAATTGTCTCGAGACAGCCTGATAGTAGAGATACTTGGAAAGGAAAATTGTTTTACACCAAGCAACACAAATTATTGTTTGAAAGGAAAATTGTTATATACCAAGCTACATAGAGAAGAGAAGATACGATCTTATAAGAAACATAACGAAAGAAGAGATGGTTGTTACATACCAAGATATATAAAGAAGATGCGATTAGGATGGTACGGAAACGGCCAAGAAATGAGTCAGCAATAAAGCCCCATAGAAGTGGCAGAAACGAAACCGTTCCGCTCCAGGCGTTGATATTCGCCGCAGCAGCAGCCGTTGACTCTCCCAATGGTCCCGTCATGTAAGTTATCAGGTTCGACGATATCCCGTAAAAGGCGAACTGCTCCGCCATTTCTACACCTACAAACAAACAAAAACGAAGCCAAATCTTTAACAAAAGCTTTTTTGGTGAGAGTGATCAGCGAGGCTTACTAACCGATGATAAGACTCGCTGATTTCCATCCTCCAAATGAAGTTCTCATGGAACCCTCGGTGGTGCCTGGACAAAGACTACTTTCGAGCTCATCGCAGGCGATCGCCATTGGTTTCTAGTAAATAATAATTTCTTCTTGAAGTATTCATTGTTTTGTATATGGAAAGGTGCCAAGTTGTATTTTAATTATTACTAAAGTGGTTACCCTGGTCATTGTTAATCGATTTACTTGGACGTTTATGGAGTTATTTAATAATGAAACACCAAACTATGTACAATGACATATATATATATATATACTTTTAAATAAAATATTACTCACTATAACAATTAATATTTAATAAAACAATATTATAACAACCAATTCTACCTGATATAAGATTCTTAAGTCTAATCAAATGGTTGTAGTTGAGTGATTCCTTTCATTATATGGTTGTAGTTGAGTGATTCTGAAAGATTCGACTCTATGGATCTTGACCAGAGATCGAATCTTCTTAGATGCAAAATTATCACATCAACTCTTAGTCATTCAACCATGTGAACTGCCATGAAAAAGATGTTGGGCCTAACTCTCAATTCATTATTTTAACCCATCACTCTCACTATTTTTCATTCAATTTATTTGTCATTTCACTCAACACTATTCTTCAAGATTGATAAAAAGTTTACTTTGGGTTGTTGTAGGCATACGACTTGGCGAAACAGACAAAGGAAACGAAGGAGATGGAGCTGAGACAAGCAAGTAGCCAATAAAAGTAATCAAGATGTGCCTGGTTCAGGTTATTAGCGAACCAACTCACTTGACCAGACTGACTCGTCGCTTTGTCGATGATGGATACCATGAAGCTACTCAAGAAGTTGCCAATGCCGACTACGCTTAGGTACATAGATAGTCCCAAGCTCCTAAGCTCGACAGGGACTTGTCCATAGAAAAACTCTTGTAAACCAACCATTGTGAAAACATCAGAGACTCCATAGAGAACGTACTGTGGAATCAACCAACAAACGTTCATTGGAACTAGAGGCAGACCTACTAAGAAGAAAGGGGTGTCACATGACACACCATAAATCTTGATAATTGTTTTTTTTATGAATAAAAGTAATTAAAATTTCAATAGCACAGATGGTAAATTTGGTTTATTGACCCCCTATAACCTGGGTTCGAATTCTACACACTACTTTTCTTATTATTTTGACACCCCTTAAATCCACCGCCAGGTCCGCCACTGATTGGAACCATGGCTTTAGGCGAATGAACTAGCCCGTGATCTCGAGCTGTTTTGAGTCTTTTCATCTTGACCAAAGCATCTATTACCAACGAAGGAATTGATAGGAAAATGCCGGTTGGAAATTCTCTGAAGCGTAGTGATTCCCGCTGGTCTTTGAGTGATTGATCTTGCTATTGGGACAAATAAACGGTCATAGATTGGAATGAAGACGAGGATCGATAGATTTATGAAGCATTGGAGTGTTGCTGCAGGGACTAAGAGTGTTGATGAGATTGATCTGTCCATTGTTGATCCTTGCTATGTGAAGAAAGTAGGAGACTGAGCATACACAAGGCCAAACACTAGACAACACATCCAAATTGGCACTAGACTCAACACAGCTTTTGCTTCCTCAACTTCAGCTGAATCACACGAATTCTTCGCTCTGTCTAGGAATCTGCAATTGCCAAAGATTTGTATATATTAAGGCATTTTATATTTCTTCTTCAAACAAGTATGTTCCACTTGTATATTTTGTGTATGTAATTACCTAAGTTTGGATAATAATCTTGACCAAAAAAAATAGAAAATGTAATTATTTGAAAAAACAACAAAAGACACAAACTTACAACACATGTAAACACACTTGTTACCTGAATTTCTTTGAACTTTCGGTAGGCAGAAGAGGGAAGGTGTCTGAAGAAGTTTGTCGACGGTTTTTAGCTGCAGCGAGGAAAACACGGCCAATTCTAACACATGGGTTATTATGGTTTCTTCCTTCTTGTCTTCCTTCTCCTCCGGTGCTGAAGCGGTAAGTGCTGGTTCCTATAGAAAGTATATTATTCTCCGAAAGTAGACGTTAGTACATATGTTAGAATCCCTTCAATTATGCCTTCATTAGGACTGTATATTGTATTTCCTTATGTGTATAGCTCTCCCTGTGTATATAGCAGAGCTCTCTGCATCAATATCAAATACACGATTCCCATATCATAATATGGTATCAGAGCACTTTTAGGTTTTTTTTTTCTTTCAGCCGCCTCTTCTTCTCTTATCTTCTTCTTCTTCTTCTTATCTCCTTCAAACTTATTCTCTCTATCTCGTATTTCTTCTTTCTCATCCTCATGGCTTCTGATTCTTCAGCAGATCGTACCTCTGTTTTCAATACTCAAGATCCACAGAGCACGCTTCTCTCCGTCAATATGTCAAGTATCACAAAACTCACCAATCTCAACTATCTTATGTGGAGTAGACAAGTACGTGCCTTACTTGAAGGACATGAATTACAACATTTCATTGAAGACACTGGTGCTGCTCCATCACTGACGGTGACACAGAATGGAGTTTCTTCTCCAAATCCTGCGTATGTGGCTTGGAAACGTCAAGATCGTCTTCTCTTTAGCTCCTTAATTGGTGCGATCTCCTTGGCGGTGCAACCTGTCGTCTCTAGTGCCGACACGACCAAAGAGGTGTGGTCCATGTTGGCTACTACCTTTGGATCTGGGTCTCGCGGTCATGTTCGTCAGCTGAAGCACCAGATCGACACAGGTGTTAAAGGTACAAAGACGATAAGTGAATATCTTCGTCACATGAAATCCAAACTGGATGATCTTGCTCTCCTTGGGAAACCCATGGATGCTGATGACTTCATCGAGAAGGTTCTGGCGGGTCTTAGTGAAGATTACAAACCAGAGATAGATGCCATTCATGGACGTGATTCCACCATCTCTTTCGCTGAGTTGTATGAACGACTCATTAGCCATGAAGCAATGATCATGTGCACCAGCTCTACGGCGGTTACTCCGGTAGTCGCCAATGCTACAGAAACTCGTTCACGTCAGCAATGGCGCAACAACAACAACAACCAGAATCATCATCAAGCTCGTCCACAACAATTCACCAACCAGCAACGATTCTCTAAACCATATTTAGGACGCTGTCAAGCATGTGGGATACAAGGCCACATCGCTAAGTACTGCCCTGACTTCTGCATTGTCAAAGGACCATCTCACCCACCACAAAGGCAACAACAACAACACAATCAAACAAACAATGCTTGGAATGCGGCTCCGCAGTTTCAGTCATGGCAACCAAGTGCTAATCCAGCTATGCTCTCCGATTCTTCGACGTGGCTGGTGGATTCTGGAGCTTCGCACCACATGACTTCAGATTTAGCCAATCTCTCCATGCATAATCCATATGAAGGAGGCGATGGTGTTCTTCTGGGTGATGGATCTGGTTTGCACATCTCTCACTCTGGTTCCTTATCTCTTCCCTCTTATACACGTCCATTCTTCTTAAATAATGTTTTATGTGTTCCTGCACTTGACAAGAATTTAATATCTGTGTTTCAATTATGTTCTACTAATGGCGTAGCTGTTACGTTTACTCCAACATATTTTCAGGTGAGGGATTTGCAGACGGGAGCTCTTCGTCTCGAAGGGAAACCTAAAGACGGGACGTATGAGTGGCCGAAAACAAAGACGGCAAAGTCACCCTCGTTAGCATTTGCTTCAAAAGTGCAAACTAGTTTATCTGCTTGGCACTCTCGTTTAGGACACCCTGCATTTCAAATTCTTCAAAAAGTAGTTTCTCAATTTCAGTTACCAGTTGTTTCCAATGCTTTAATGGCTCAGCCTTGCACTGCTTGCTCGATTAATAAAATGCATAAGTTACCTTTTCAAAATTCGTCTTTAAAATCTATTCAACCTCTTGACATAGTATTTTCTGATGTTTGGACATCTCCAATGCTTTCAGTTGATGGTTTCAAATATTATGTTATATTTGTAGATCATTACACTAGATACACTTGGTTGTATCCATTGAAATTAAAATCTCAAATATTTGAGATATTTACCCGGTTCAAAGCATTGGTTGAAAATCGATTTCAAACCAAGCTAAGAACTTTATATACGGATAATGGGGGTGAATACATTGGTTTAAGAGATTTTCTTTCTCGTCATGGTATTTCTCACATGACAAGTCCACCGCATACGCCTGAACACAATGGCATTGCTGAACGTCGTCACCGACATATTGTAGAAACAGGGCTTGCTCTGCTTTCTCATGCATCTATGCCTCAGTCATTTTGGACGTATGCGTTTGCGACGGCAGTTTACTTAATTAACAGAATGCCATCACAAGTACTTAATTATGAAAATCATTTTCAGCGTCTTCATGGACATAGTCCAAACTTTCAAAAATTAAAAATATTTGGTTGCTTGTGTTTTCCATGGCTAAGGCCTTATGCATCAAATAAATTAGACACTAGATCAACTCCATGTGTGTTTATTGGGTATTCTAACACGCAGAGTGCATATTTTTGTTTAGATCGTAGTACATCAAGGATTTACACATCTAGACATGTAGTATTTCATGAATCAGTTTTTCCATTTGCACTTTCATCTAACTTAGAATCACAAGAACCTAATGAATCTACTGCTGTTATACAACCATCAGTTTCGATTGTTCCAATTTTCTCTCCTTCAGATTTAGTACAGGCACCAATTCAGGACAATGCAGAAGACACACCAGGGACTACTTCACCAGTAATTCCGCACACTTCTTCTTCCTCGCCCCACAGCGCAGCTCCAACAGAGGAGTCTCAACAGATTTCGTCTGAGAAGACCACCGAAGCTTCAACAGGACCGACTCCACCAACATCATCCGAGGAATCACCACCATCTATCCCAACTCCATCCCAAGCAGATCCACCTGTCACCACAGTCACCGCTCCTATACATTCACCACCACCTCCGGTGCGGCAAAGCAAGAGACAACGGAAACCAGTGCAGAAGTTAAACCTTCACACTTCAGTCACTCAAACAATGGAGAAACCTCCAACCACAGTGGCACAAGCTCTAAAGAGTCCTCATTGGCGCAAAGCTATGAGTGAAGAGTATAATACACAAATCGGACATAGAACTTGGGATCTTGAAAATTTACCTACTGATTCTCGTTTTAATGTTGTAGGTTGCAAATGGATCTTCACCATTAAACGGAATCCAGATGGTTCAATTGCTCGTTATAAATCTCGGCTTGTCGCAAGAGGATTCACACAAAGGCCAGGGATAGACTATCATGACACATTTAGTCCGGTTGTGAAACCGGCCACGATACGGACAGTTCTCAGTGTTGCTGTCACACGAAATTGGCCTATTCGTCAACTTGATGTAAACAATGCGTTTCTTCAAGGAACACTTGCTGATAAAGTCTACATGATGCAACCACCAGGTTTTGTCGATAAAGATAATCCACTAGCTGTGTGCCGCTTACGGAAGGCTATTTATGGACTAAAACAAGCCCCAAGAGCTTGGTACAACGAGCTCCGTAGCTTTCTCTTACAATCTGGCTTCTCAAATTCCTTGGCAGATGCATCTTTATTCATCTACAACAAACAGAGAGTTTTCATTTATATGCTTGTATATGTTGATGATTTAATTATCACAGGAAACAACAATGAATATACTAATCGTTTCATTGCATCTTTGTCTAACCGGTTCTCACTAAAGGATCTTGAAGATTTGTCTTTCTTTCTTGGCATTGAGGTTATTCGCAATGAGACTGGTATGCATCTGACACAAACTCGTTATATTGCAGATCTTCTACATCGGACGAAGATGGAAAGCTGCAAACCGGTGAATACTCCCATGTGTCCAAACTCATCTCTCACTCTGACTTCGGGTACACCGTTGGCGGATCCAACGGAATATCGTATGGTGGTTGGGAGTTTACAATATCTATCGCTCACACGGCCTGATATCTCGTTCCCCGTCAACAAGCTTTCTCAGTTTATGCATAAACCAACAACAGAGCACTGGAATGCTGTTAAACGAATCCTTCGATATCTTGCGGGCACAACGACGAAGGGCATTTTCTTACACGCTAAAAACATTCCAGCTCTACATGCTTTCATAGATGCCGATTGGGCTGGAAACAGAGACGACTACACATCCACCGGTGCATACATTGTTTATCTGGGTCGTCACCCCATCGCATGGTCATCAAAGAAGCAAACAGGCATCGCTCGATCTTCCACGGAAGCTGAATACAGGTCCCTTGCATCTACTACAGCGGAAGTAATCTGGGTAAAATCGTTATTATCCGAGCTTGGTGTCAACACACCTACGTCTCCGGTGATTTATTGTGATAACATTGGTGCAACGTACTTGGCGGCAAATCCTGTGTTCCACTCCCGGATGAAGCATCTGGCCTTGGATTACCATTTTGTGCGCAACTATATTCAATCAGGTCAACTTCGGGTCTCTCATGTTTCATCAATGGATCAGCTAGTTGATGCTCTCACAAAAGCCTTACCAAGAGCTCGGTTTGAGACATTATCGGTCAAGATCGGACTTGCTACACCACGTCCGTCTTGAGGGGGTGTATAGAAAGTATATTATTCTCAGAAAGTAGACGTTAGTACATATGTTAGAATCCCTTCAATTATGCCTTCATTAGGACTGTATATTGTATTTCCTTATGTGTATAGCTCTCCCTGTGTATATAGCAGAGCTCTCTGCATCAATATCAAATACACGATTCCCATATCATAATAGTTCCAAGTAAGAACAAGAACAGAGCAAGCATCATGGAAAGACATGGAATCCCAAATCCCAAAGCCCAACTCAGATTCTCTTGGACATAGTTAGAGATCAATCGAGTGGCCAATATCCCAGTTGATCTCGCAAAATACGACCAGTTAAAGTAAACGCTCTTGGCTTTGGACTCTTCAGAATCTTCTTCATCAAACTGATCTGCTCCAAAAGCTCTAATACATACCTTGAAGCCTCCTTCGCCTATCGCTATTAGATAGAGATCACAGAAAAAGATCGTTACTTTGACCTGAGAAACGCACGAGACGAGTGTTTCTCGATCTTTACATAGAGAAGGAATCGTCGCCGAATAAGTAAGCAACCCAGGTCCCTGAAATCAACTCAAAACCAATCAATTTCCGATATTGTAACAGAGAGATCGTGAAGCTAGCGTAAGGGAACAAAAAGTAGGATGCTTTTAGTAGCTATGTACCAAGATATAGAGAGAGGAGGTGAAGAAGATGGTGCGGAAACGGCTGAGAAACGAGTCGGCGATAGAACCCCATATCAGAGGCAAAAACGCTGCCGTTCCGAGCCAGAGGTTGACGTTTGACGCCGCATCTGCCGTTGACTCCTCTAATGGTCCCGTGAAGTAAGTTATCAGATTCAATGCTATCTCCAAGTAAGCGAATTTCTCCGCAACTTCCGCACCTGCCGGAATATTCCCTTTTTTTTTAAGCCAGAATATGGCGAGGAAACTTTGGGACGTGAAGGGTAAAAAGGTTAGTACTTACCGATGATGAAGCCAGAGGATCTCCATCCACCGGAAGTGGATCTGATGGATGGCTTGCCTTGCCTTGGAAATCGACAGAGCACTCGACAACAATGTTTGAAAGTGTAGTTACAGTCTCATCACCGGCGCCGGAGATTGACATTTGTCTATTTTAATATTGTTTTTAGAGTCACATAGTGACTGAGTTCTACTCTAGGTTCGTATAACACATGGTTGATTAAAAGTTGTTGGCTCGAGTGATTAGAAATTTTAAATTATTAACTCAACTTTGTTGGTTTCAATTATTTTTTATTTCTAGTTTTTGTCCTCACCCTATTCCTACTTCAAAAAATTAATAATCTTTTTTTTAAAAAATAATTGGTTACCTGTTGACAAAAAAATAAATAATTGGTTACCTTCTTTATTAACTAATTATATACAGTATTCTTTCAAGAGAGCTTCTCAGAGTGCACTTTTCTCATATTTCGAGGGATCTAAATGTCCGTGCGAATAGTCTTGCGAAAGGAGCTCGAGCAAGAGATTCTATCTTTTCCCAAATCGATCATAACGTGCTCACCGATGGTGGTCCACGGATCACTAATACGATGAGCCAAATGTGATTGTACTAGATGAGTAGTGGAAAAAAAACTAATTATATACAGTAGAATATCTATAAATTAATATTCGATAAATTAATAAATTTCTCTGGTTTCGAGTCGGGTCAGTATAAAAATCCATCAAATTCGATAAGATAATAAGATAATAATTTTTTTGAAACCTCTATCTAAATATATGATCCCAATATAAACATAAATTAATAATTTTAAAATTTATGTATATATATAGGTAAGATATTTTTTTTTATTTAAGTTCAAAGTTTTATTGAAAATCATCTATTTACTTATTTACATCAATAACTTTTAATGTTATTTTTTTGTTATCTCCATTCAAAATTTGTGAAAAATGTTAGATATGATAATTGATTTTCTTCCTACAAATAACTTTTTGAAATATATTATGGTATTGTTTTCAATTTCAGCACCAACATTATGGATAATAGCTATATTTTTGTATAAATTTTGTACTAATGAACATTTATATTCTTACATAGATAGTTCAGTCCACATTTAACAAATATAAATAACTATTTTATTGGGATTGCTATGACTAGTTATCATAATTTTAAGTTTATGCATGTCATTTTATCAGCATATAAATATAAATTCTTAAATATACTATTATTTGAAAGAAAATTTTAGAAGAAGATGGAGAAAAACATATTTTCTCTATAAATTATTAATTTATAAATAAATTAATATCATGATAAATTAATAAAATATTATGGTTCCGACATTATTAATTTATAGAGGTTTTACTGTAGATTTAAATTTGAAAACTTTTTTGTATTTTATTCTAAATTTTAGTTTTAAAAATAGTTGTTATAAAGTAAAATAAACGCTTTTTTAATTAAAGTAAAACTACACAGATATTTAACTTCTTCTAGTAACTAAACTAAGTACACTTTTCTCAACAAAAAAAAAAACTATAATTACTTACACAAACTAATATCTGAAATGGTGAAAAGTGAAAACCCAATACAGCTGAAAGACGACTGACTACACATTCTCTCAGTGTATTTAGAAGGTGTTTGGTCTATTGTAGACATACACCTTGGCGAACCACAAACAGGAGGCTAAACCAATGGAATTTAGACAAGCGAGTAGCCAGTAGAAGTAATCTAGATGAGCCTTGTTCAAGTCGTTATCGAACCAGCTCTCTTGACAAGACTGGCTGGTGAATTTGTCGATGACTGATATTATGAAGCTGCTTAGAAAGTTTCCGGCCCCGTATATGCTTAGGTTCAAAGCCATACCAACGCTCCTAAGCAGAGCCGTGCCTAAGCACAGGCTAATGAAACATGTGCTTCAAGGCCGGAGGAGTTAAATATTTTTTTAGGTCAATTATCTAGAGTTTGTGTTAGTCCAGGTGGTTTGTGAATATGTGAAAGTGTGTTTGGTTAGAGGTTTTTCCGGGTTCGATTCTTCCCAAGTGCGCATATCTGTCATTTTTTCTTCTGTAGGTTTTTTGCAAATTATTTATGGTTAAGTTGTATTAAGAAAAATTTTAAGGGGCCAAATTTTTTTCTCGCTTGTAGTTAGAGAAATCTCAGGCACGGTTCTGCTCCTAAGCTCACTAGGGACTTGGTTGTAGAAGAACTCTTGCAAACCCACTTTTGTGAATACCTCAGAGACTCCATACATTACGTATTGTGGAACCAACCACCACACGCTAATCGGTATGGTGACATCATCTCGTGCTGCTTGGAGCCTTTTGGTCTCGACCAAGGCGGCTACTACCATAGCAAGAATGGAGATGAAAATCCCTGTGCCAATCCTCTGAAGCATTGTCATTTTTGAGTGAAGAGACTTGCGATGTGGACGTGTAGACGGTCGTAGATTGGGATGAAGACGATAATTGATAGTTCTAAGAAACATTGGAGTGTAGCTGCAGGGACTACGAGTCCTGGCGAGATTGACTTGTTCATTGTGGCTCCTTGCTTTGTGAAGAAAGTAGAAGATTGTGCAAGCACAATGACAAATACTAAGCAAGTCATCCATATGGGAACAATCCTAAGCACCGGTTTTGCTTCTTCAACTTCGTCCAAATCACATGAAATCGCCGCTCTGTCGAGGAAGCTGCATAGTATCCAAGAGAAACTATCAAATTTTCATAGACTCTTATCTCAAAACCAATTGGTACCTGATCATTAGCCCTCTTCTATTTACCGATGTGAGATTCTTGCACAGGAACGAAGATGGTATAAGCACAAACGTGTGCTCAAAAATTCAAAAGAAAGAAAGAAAGAAAAAAACTCTGTTAATTAGGTTACCTGAATTTCTTGGAACTCTGGTGAGGCAGGAGAAGGAGGGTCTTCTGAATCGCTATATCTGAATTTTGTTGTCTTCTGTTCTTTACTGCTTCCACGAAATCACGACCAATTCTATGAAAAGGGTTTTTCTTTCCTCCTCTTTCTGTGCTAAACCGGTAAGTGGTAGTTCCAAAGAGGAAGGGAAACAGAGCAAGAATCATGGAAAGACATGTAATACCAAAACCTAAAGGCCAGCCTAGGTTCTCTTGAATGCAACTAGAGACCAACTGACTCGTCAAGATGCTAATACAGTTTCCAAACATTAACCAGTTGAAGAAAGAACTCTTGGATTCTCTCTCTTTTTCATCATTTCCGCCGAATTGATCGGCTCCAAAAACCTTAATACACGGTTTGTATCCGCCATTTCCTATGGCTATAAGATACAGAGAGCAGAAGAAGAGAGTCACTTGGAGCTGATTCGAATCTTCAGAACGATGAGGAATCATTGCTGAAAACGAAAGTAACGCAAGTCCCTGTTTGTTTCATCGAACCAATGATCTAAGATGTCACAACAATAAAGAAACTTAATGGTAAATAGAAACGTTTCGAGAGGAAATTGTGAGATATACCAATACATAGAGAGAAGATGAGATGATGATAGTACGAAACCGACCAAGAAACGTGTCCGCTAAGATAGACCAGAGAAGCGGCAGAAGCAACAACGTTCCAGTCCAAGCGTTTACATTCGCCGCAGCTGCAGTCGGTTGACTCTCCCAACGGTCCAGTCAAGTACGTTATGAGGTTCGACGATATACCGTAGTAAGCGAACCGCTCCGCCATTTCTACACCTAGAAAAAATCATTAGGAAAACGAATCAGAATTGCGTGCGGGGGAATCAACGAGGTATATATGTTATTTGGATTTGCACTTACCGATTATGAGCCTGGCCGATTTCCATCCACCGGAGGGGAATCTGACGGCTGGATTTAGGAGCTCACCCTCGGCGATGCCTATGTTAGCCATTGTGTTCTGGTTTTGGTTTTGATTTATTTAGAGATTAAAGTACATGCAAATGCTTCTTTGTACTGGTTTTTTTTTATGGTGCATGTGAAAAGTTGGTTTTATTGAATAACAAGACAACAATTAAGTAGTTAACTCGTGCAGCATATGAGCTTTCTTTTACTTCTTTGTTCCACAAGTTCTCGGAAGATGTTCAGTTCGTGACAAATAATTTCAAAAAAAAGAAGCCGTCACATTTCCTTTTCGTTCTTGTATGAACAGCTAGCCGTCCTGTTAAAGTAATTCTTCTCTCTCTTTTTTTGGGGGCAAGTTTAACCTAAAGCTCTCTTATTTGTTTCCTAGATGTAAGACCTTATTTTAATTTTTTGACCCAAAAAAAATATTAATAAAAATATAAGGAAATTTAATAAAACTGACTAGAAAACAAAAAGTTGATGTGACCACAACCGAACAAACAAAAAAAAATACGTACTAACTCTGTTTGATAAAATATTAGATGTTCACATACGATAACGTTTAACTTGCATGTCTTTAAGTTAATGGGGTAAAATCTTCCACAATGGTCAAAACTCTTATATAGATAAAATAACCATGTCAAAAAGGCTTCGGCCTCACGGTTTTTTTTTTTTTTTTTTATCATTGGCTCTCTTTTTCTTTCTTCTCTTAGTACGTCGACTTTCGACCTTTATTCTTCTATTGTTTGTTATTTTGCTTCTCAAAACCTTTTTATTCAAATTTGTAGGTTTTGTATTTTACCTGGATTGTGTGAGACTTGTTATTAGATTATGGAATCGAATCTTATGTCATGCTGATTTTTTATTGATTTTATAAGCCATTCTCTTATTTATGGCGCTTTGAAGGTTGTATTTCTTTAAATATCTCTTTATTTAATATATGAGAATGATTTGGGAGATTATTAGAATAATATATTTGGAGAATCCGAAAATTCTTTTTGGAGAAAGTCATTCTTTGACTTTGGTTAAGATATTTGATAAAAAGACCCAAAAAAGGTTGTTTATGATCAAGAAGAGTGACGCCGTTCATAAAGTAACCATTGGTCCATAATCCATTAATCATGTTTAGTTTTGTTTGTTTCTTTATTGTAGTTAGAAAGATGATCTTAAAACAAAACAAAGTACAGGGCCGGCTCTGATTACCTGTACATATTCTTGAGGATTCAATAAGTTTGATGAGGAAGATAAGAGCACCTCCAGTGGAAGTTCAAGAAAGGTTCATGGCCCAAAGTCATAGGCAAAAACCATTTAAAAAAAAAGAAAAATAGCCCAATATTGATGAACCGACTCTTCCTGAAAAGTTTAAAGATACAGTATTGTCCGATTATCATTCACACGTGGCAACTTTTAAATGGTCGAAAATTTTTGGGACAAAATTTTTTTTGGCAAGACATTTTATTTTCTCCCTCACACGACTCCTTCTCTCATCTTCTTCCCAGGCGATTTCTGAAACTCTTCTTTGAACCTCTTCGTCCGTCAATTTGATAGGGTTTATGCCTTAATCAAACTGTTCTCAGGTATTTAGTTAATTCAGCTTCTATGCTTTGCTTCGTGCCTCCGGCTGAATAGTTGTATCTGTCAAGGAGCACAGCCATTGAAGCGGCGATGTTATCATCAAGATTTTCATTTTTGGAGATCGGCATTTCCAACTTCGATTCCCTTTGATGATGAGAAGAAGGTTCAATTTCCAACGATGACAGTGGCAACTTCGATTCTCGACGTTGTTTTGTTCATCTGGGTTTGTATTTTTATACATCTTTGTGAGATGCTTTCTGATTTACCACTGTTTTATTGTTGATGCTTTCTGATTTCTCTGATTTTTTTGTTTTGTTAGATAGCTCTTTATCGGATATGTGAATCATTTGTGAATATTTTACTTTGTTTAAGGCCCTAATTGTGGATTATAGACGTGGAATTTTGGATTGTGTAGTTGTGTTCCCCTACTTATGATGTTGAGGCTTTCTGATTCCTTCACCTTATAGAAGTGATGAGCTCGTTTGATAGATGTAATAGATAACTAAATGTCTAGATTTCGGAGTGCTGGTCAGAGTCTCATTTCTCCCTTGATGTTGTGAAATTTATGATCAGAGTTTGACTTATTTGTGATGAAGGTTTGCTGCTGAGATGTTCCATGACTTGCACGAAGAAGTAATGGCGACTGCTTCTAGAAGCCACGGTCTTATGGCTTGTGTACAACAGCTCGAAGCAGAATTCCCTTTCGTAGAGAAGGCATTACTGTCTATGTTTTCTCTTTTGAAAACATGAGAAATATCAAGTTCAAAGAGTTTAGACAGCAGTTTAGGCACAATGGAAGGTCAGTTTCTCTGTTTTTATAATCGTTACTAGATTGGTGTTACCTGAATGTAATTGATTGAGACATTGCTTTGCTTTCAATTTGGTAATATCATTTGATTACTATTCGACCAGGTTCTTCCTCGGTTCAAACAAAGTGATGCAGGTTGCTCTCGGTCACACGGCTTCTGATGAAATCCGTCCTGGTATCTTCAAAGTTTCCAAGGTTGTGTACTCTGCTTTTTCGCTTTTCTCCAAAATTTTTCGATTTTGTTTTTTTCAGAATTGTATTCTTGTTTTGCAATTGATGAACCACTTCCTGATAGTTCCTTTGTTTCATGTTTCTGGGTTTGGGTTTGTTCAGTTTAATAGAGAGTAGCTGCTCGTTCTGCCCTCCATAGCTCCATGGTTGATGCTTGTAGAAAGCATCTTTCACGAAGAGGTAATTTCTGGCTAAGTGTTGTCTCCGAGTTGGTTGATGCTTGTTAGTTTTTAAGCCATTGTATTAAGAACTGTAACTATTGAGGCCTATTTTCACATTAAAGAATGTTGGAGGAAGAAGAGGATACTGTACAAGACTTAACATTCTTTTTCCTTAAACAGATTACGTAAATTAGCATTTTGGATTACAATCAATATGTTTATCTTTCTCAACTATTGGATGTAACCAATGAAGAGTACAATTCTCTAATAGCATAATACATAGGAAAAGATATTAAAGAGCCCTCATAGCAACTCAACAAAGCCATGAACAACAACAAAGATTTTTCAAAACTGATTTTTCAAAAAGGAATTTTTTTTTTTCTGATGAACCCCATTTTGGAGTTCACTAATGGAACCCAAAAAATAGTATAGTCTCTTCATTAAACTCAAAACCAAAAAAAATTATTATAAAATTTTGATGAACCCCTAAGAGGAGTTAACTAATGGACATGCTCTAACAATTAAGTAGTTAACTCGTGAAGTATATCTTTGTTCGAAATCGTTGGAAAATGTTTAAGTTAGTCACATTAAAAATAAGAAGCCGCGTTAGATTGCTACTGTAATTTCTTCTCTCGTTTTGTGGCAAGTTTCAACCCAAAGCTTTTTTAGTTTCAATTGGAAGATTCAAATATAGAAATATATAATTAACTAGACAATACAAGGAATAAAATGATAGATTTTGTTTGGTGAATTAGATGTCCTCGTATAGTAATAACAAATTAAATTGAAAATCACATATCCTTAAATAATGGGGTAAAATCTTCTACAAGATATTTTCTCATAGATAAAGAACCATGTCAAAAATGGACGTAGGGGCTAGGGCATCTTTTTTTTGTACGTCAATATTATTAAGAATAAAAATTTAAACTTTGGAACCTTTTTTTCTAACTAAATCATTATGAGAACTCTATTGTGTGGGAATTGAGAAAAAAACAATAAAATCGTTTTTTCCTAGATAAGTTTGATAAACATTTTGAAAACTTAGCTGAAATAAAATACTGAGCGTTTCTTTTATCACTTAACTGCCGACAGTCGCATCGTATGAATTTGATTGAGCCTGTGAATATTCATGAAGTCACATATTTTTGATGCAGGATTCATAATAGACTGACAACACTATAAAACTTGTACACGGATGTGCACATTTATACTGGCAATAATAAATTCCCTATTTTGCTGGTAACTTTACAGTTTACAGTCTCCAAAATTGTTACATTAAATTTGAATGTACTATATGATAAGTTGATAACAACAAAATCACGAGAAAACAAGTACACGTATATTGATAGTTCCTGAACTCATAGTTCTGAAGTCCTTTTTAGAAATGGAAAAATGCTAGAATGTAAGCCATGAATGTTTGCATGGTTTTTAGTTTTTGGTTTTTGGTTTTTGGGTTATAGTTTTTATTTTTAGATTTTGGTTTTAAAATTTTGGTTTTTGATTTTGCAGTAAATTTTGGTTTCTTAAAAACTTGAATGGTGTAATTTGTTTAGTTTCTGGTTTTGTTAACCATAATTTTTTTTAAAAGCGTTTGTATGCTTTTTCATTTTTAATATGTTTAAAATTACTAAAAATTAATATACAAAAAAATTTCAAAATCTTATTTTTATAAAAAAATAAAACTCATAAAATTTTAGAAGTAATAATAAAAAATTTAAACTATATATTTTCTAAGATAAAAAATTATAAACCTAAAATGCAGATATATTAATTTCATTACTTCACATTATTGTAGAAATAAGATTTTCGATCTGAACAAAAATTCAAAATAAATAACTGAGAAAAACTAGTATTTATATTAAAAAGAATTTACGTGACTTCGTTTTGAGGAACTCATAAATAGTGGTTTTTGGTTTCTATTTAGAAAATGTAAAAACTTAAAAAAACTAGTTTCCTTAAATTTAGAAAATCTGTTTATTCAAAAACTTTAATGGTTAAAAAAATGATTTTTTGAAAAACAAAAACTAAAATCTGTTCCAAAAACTGCAAACAATCAAGACCAAATCTCGATTTGGTTGGTTCTAAAGTCAAAATGTTGCCGGTCTATCCGAAGAAATAAGCCTTTTCGAGCATCACACATCTTCTGTTGCCGCAAGTATACCTGGTATTCCACATGTATGTTACCCAATATCTTCCTTGAAAACATATCATTATCAAAAGTCAGATTAACAAATTTCCTTTGCAAGAAATGGTTTTGCTTAATTTGCCCCTATACCCACGTTTTTTTAATCATGTTACCATAATATCTAAATATTATGAGCAGATCATAATAATTAATAAGAGCTAAATACACTATATTTATTTTTTAAAAAGGGACTTTTTTTACTACATATCACGATTTTAACTCTATAATTCTTGTTTAATTTATTTTCATTTGTTTTTATTTATTTATTTTCATTTGTTTGTTTTCAAAATAACAGAGAAGATAATGCTTTAGAAGGTGTTTCGTCTGTTGTACACATACGATTTGGCAAACCACAAGTAGAAGGCTAAACCAATGAAGCTGAGACAAGCCAGTAGCCAATAGAAGTAATCTAGATGAGCTTGGTTCAAGTCGTTATCAAACCAGCTTGTTTGACCAGAATGACTTGTGACTTTATCGATGACTGATATCATGAAGCTGCTTAGGAAGTTTCCGGCCCCATATATGCTTAGGTTTAAGGCCATACCAACGCTCCTAAGCTCACTAGGGACTTGGTCGTAGAAAAACTCTTGTAAACCCGCCATTGTGAATATGTCCGCGACTCCATAGACAACATACTGCGGAACCAACCACCACACACTCATATGTATGGTGGGGTCATCCCGAACGGTTTGTAGCCTTTTGGTCTCGACCAAGGCGACTATTACCATAGCAAGAATGGACAGAGAGATGCCCGTGCCGATCCTTTGAAGCATAGTGATTCCTGATGGGATTTGAGTGAAGGATCTTGCTATTGGGACAAATAGACAGTCGTAGACTGGGATAAATACGAGAACTGTTATGCTTATGAAACATTGGAGCGTAGCTGCAGGGACTAAGAGTCCTGGCGAGATTGACCTGTCCATTGTGGCTCCTTGCTTTGTGAAAAAAGTAGGAGATTGTGCATACACAATGGCGTAGACTAAGCACGTAATCCATATTGGAACAAGCCTAAGTACTGCTTTTGCGTCTTCAATTTCAGCCTTACCACACGAAATCGCTGCTTTATCAAGGAACCTGCCATAACATCCAAGAGAAACTGTAAAAAAGTCATAGCTAGAGACTTCTAGCAGTCTAGTATTGTCCCTCTTATACTTATCGATGTTGAATTTCCAACAAGAAGGAAGATGGTGGCCTCAAAGATTCTAAGGAAAATACAGAATCTCTTTTAATTATGTTACCTAAATTGCTTGGAACTCTGGTGAGGAAGGAGAAGGAGGCTCTCGTTCGGATTTGCTATATCTGAATCATGTTGTCTTCTGTTCTTTACTGCTTCCACGAAAACACGACCGATTCTAGCAAAAGGGTTTTTCTGTCCTCCTCTTTCTGTACTAAACCGGTAAGTGGTAGTTCCAAAGAGGAAGAGAAACAGAGCAAGAATCATGGAAAGACATGGAATACCAAAACCTAAAGACCAGCTTAGGTTCTCTTGAATGTAACTAGAGACTAAACGCGTGGTTGTTATGCTAACACAGATTCCAAACACCAACCAGTTGAAGAAAGAACTCTTAGCTTTTGCCTCAACGAGGTCACTTCCATCGAATTGATCAGCTCCAAAGACCTTGATACACGGTTTGTATCCGCCATGTCCTATGGCTATAAGATAAAGAGAGCAGAAGAAGAGAGCCACTTGGAGCTGATTTGAATCGTTGGAGTGAGAAGGAATCATTGCTGAAAACGACAGTAACGCAAGTCCCTGCTTGTTTCATCAAATCAATTATCTAAGATGTCACAACAATATAAAGAAACGTTTTGAGAGAGAACCGTGAAAGTACCAGTATATAGAGAGAAGATGAGAAGATGATAGTGCGGTAACGACCGAGAAACGCGTCAGCTATAAACGACCAGAGAAGCGGCAGAAACGACACCGTTCCAATCCAAGCGTTCACATTGGCTGCAGCTGAAGCGGTTGACTCACCTAATGGTCTGGTTAAGTACGTTATGAGGTTCGACGATATCCCGAAATACGCGAACCGCTCCGCCATTTCTACACCTTCAAAAAAATCGTATGTAAAAAAACAAAATAAGCCAGAAAGAACAAAGCGTAACTTGCAAAATTAGCGGGAAAATAAGTCCATCGCCAACGCGGTATCATCCGCGGTACGTCAATGAGCCCGAAGAGCTAGAATGCAATTAAAAAAAATTTTGAACCGAATTATTTGGACGTACCGTCTTTTCCAGATGAGACCGACGAGCCCGTCTCAAGCCAGTATCGTTGATGACGTGGCGGAAGGTGAGTGGCTGGAATGGAAAGGAAAGTGGTGTGTTTTTTCATTTTTTTTTGCCCGTCCCATTTTGTTTTCGAGAGAGAAGTCGTGTGTTTTTCCCTGAGTATTTTTCTGTCACCGACGAATCGGTTTACCGGCAATTTTTACTGCTGAGACGACGAAGCTATTTTATCGGAACGTCGCACCGAGCAAGGTAAAGATTTCCGACCTTGTTAACAATCATTTCGTGGGTTTTATCGTTTTTAAAATCGAAATTAGGGTTTGAACAATTTGGGGGAAATTCTAGGGTTCGTCGAATTAGTTGAAATTTGGGTTTAATCGGTTCAGTAGTAGTGTATGGGTGGTTGAATCGGCGATAATTTGATCTTCTTTCTCGGTTATTTGAAATCGATTAGCTTTGCCTATTGGGTTTCGTCGATTTCTGAATAATTTTAGGGTTCCGTTATTCTTTTTTGTTTGATTTCGGAAATCGATTTTCTTTTTAGTTTTCATTCTCCGTTTGTGATTCGAGCATCGTTTATGCGATCTATTTTATCTTTTCGTTTTCAAACATGGGTTCGTATCAATTAGGTTTAGTAAAACATATTGCTCAAATGCTTCTGTTTGTCTTTGTGTTTTCAACTTGTAAAACTGATTACATCAAATGGTTCTGTTTGTTTCGGCTTTGTTGATCAATATGTTGATCACTATGTTTCCTTCAAACGGTTTGCATATGTTGATCACTATGAATCTGTTTTCAGGATGCCCATTAGCTACAGTGAGCCATCTTCTGATGAGGAATACATTGAGGACTACAGTTGGATGTTAGAAGATGCCAAGTTCGGCATCCCGGAGAAGTGCATCTGTGGTCGACTTATCGAGCTACAAGGCATGTCTGCTGAGGCGGTTAGGACTCCAGGTCGGCAATACTACAGCTGTCCTGCGTGGTTAGAAGAGGTAAGAGTGAAAAGTCATTATATTTTATTTTTCAAAATTGTTGAACGTGATTTTAACCATCAATTTTCAATGTCTTAAGTATGGAACTAGGGAGCATATCTTCAAGTTCTGGGACAAGGCAGTCAAAAGTGGACTTCGGCGACCACGATAAGAGATGCTAAAAGGGTTAAGCGTAGGAAGTGTGATGAAGGTGCGGTTCATTCACCGCAGACAGAGACTGGTGGAGAGGACACATCAGCTCGGCCTCCAGGAGTAAAAGCTGCAAAAGTAGCTAAGGGCAAGAAAAAAGCACCTTCAGCATCCGATCAAGAAGAAGCGAAAGCCTATGCGGACATGAGGAGTATGTGGGATATAAAACAAGTGGACCTGGATAGGAAAGACAAGATCTCAAAACAAAACTTGCTCGAAAAACTACTAGCTCGACCAGGGCCACTTTCTGAGAACGAAATTGTGCTCAAAGACAACTTAATTGCTGCCCTTTTATCATAAGTTTTTTTTAAGTGTTTGGTGTCTAAGTGAACGAACTTGCTTTTTGCAGTTGTTTTTAAGTGTTTGTTGAACATGGTTTGAAGTTTATTTAATGAAGTTTATTTAAAGAAGTATGTTTGGTGAACTTGTTTAGTACTTGCCTATATTGCATTCTGATGGGCATTGTATTTTATTTCCGTGTATTGGCTATCTTGGTAATGAACTTTTTCTTATTGCAGATTTTAGACGTAATGGAGAAATGGCTGACAAGGAATGAGGGGCCATGTCTTTGCTTTCCTGTGAAATGCTATTTTGTAACTTTATGGAGAGTAGTATTGGGACCTCTACGTTTTGTAATTTTGCCTGCTATACCACATGTTGTATATCGCTTTAGCAGAGATGATTTGCCATCTCGTTGAACGCTTTTTAAACCATAGACTTTGAAGTTTCTTTGTAAACCACTCATTTGTAATCTCTTTGTAAACCATCTGCCTATATAATACAATCAATACCAAGTTTATTTCCACATATCGTTTTCTGTATTGTGCTTGTCCTCTGTCTTTTATTTGCACTTTTCAGCAACCACATCTCCACATCCTTTCCAATTTTTCATATCGAGAACACAATTCCTTCTTCATATCGTTTCTGTTTTCATATCGCAAACACATCTCCATCTTCATATCCTTCCTCTTTTCTTCTAATCACACAAATGGCCTCTTCATCAAACGATTTTTACAATAATGATCTTGATGAAACTTTGGATGAAATTTTTTATGAAATCTTTGATCAACACTTTGACAAGGCTTTGAATTCTTTCATAGAACGTCGTCTAAACCCGAAACCGAAGAAGAAGAAAAGAGCATATATTGAAAGACAACGTGAGGAAGGCCACATTGGTTTATGGAATGATTATTTAAGCGAAGATGCTACATACCCTCACAATTTATTCCGCCGCCGTTTTAGAATGAACAAAACATTGTTCATTCGTATTGTTGATCGACTCTCACAAGAAGTGCCTTTTTTCAACAAAGGAGAGATGCTGTCGGAAGACTTGGCCTATCTGGGCTACAAAAATGTACAGCCGCAATTCGTATGCTGGCTTATGGTAGTGCAGCAGATGCATGTGACGAGTACCTCCGGTTAGGTGAAAGTACAGCCATTTCTTGCTTGGAAAATTTCACCGAAGCAATAATCTCTTTGTTCGGGGATGAATACTTACGAAGACCAACACGAGAAGATCTTCAACGGCTGCTTGAAAATGGAGAGTCTCGTGGATTTCCCGGTATGATTGGCAGCATCGATTGCATGCATTGGGAGTGGAAAAATTGCCCTACAGCTTGGAAAGGGCAATACACACGGGGTGCAGGAAAACCGACAATTGTCTTAGAGGCTGTGGCATCATACGATCTTTGGTTTTGGCATGCTTTTTTTGGACCTCCAGGTACTTTAAACGATATCAATGTCTTAGATCGCTCACCTGTTTTTGATGACATCTTACATGGTAAAGCTCCGAAAGTAAGGTACTCTGTCAACGGTCACAACTATCGTCTACCATATTACCTGACGGACGGTATATATCCAAAATGGGCAACATTTGTCAAGTCTATTCCTCTTCCCCAAAGTGAAAAAGATACATTATTTGCTCAATGCACGGAAAGATGTCGAAAGAGCTTTTGGAGTCTTGCAAGCCCGGTTTGCTATTGTCAAAAATCCCGCCTTAATGTGGGATAAAGAGAAGATAGGGAAGATTATGAGAACATGTATCATATTACACAATATGATAGTCGAAGACGAACGACCTACCAACACTCAACTTAATATATCTGAATTCGTACAAGGTGAAGGAAGCAGAACTTCATATGTCGATATGAGTTACTCAACAGAAACGGCATCGAATCTGGGCAATTTGATCGGTAATCGGATTCAAGTTCGAGATACCGAAATTCACGATCAATTAAAGGAAGATTTAGTAGAACATATTTGGCATAAATTTGGAGGAACCACTCTTTGAAATTAAGTTTGCATGTTTTTTAAAATTTTAAAAAGTTGTATTTCAATAAATCATGTATTCCTATATTAATCACATTTTATGTCATGTATTTTTATGTAATTTTATTTTTGTATTTATAAAAATGTTTAAAAAATAAACGAAATATTAATATTTTAATCAAAACAACCCTTAAATTGGGATCATGGTTGGAAGGGTACAAAACATGGAGTCATTCCCAACTAAAAAATAAATGTTAAACGAAATTAAAAAATGATAAGAGACCCAAACTGGGTATCAGCATTGGTGATGCTCTAATGAACGTGGAACTCAATATGCATTGACTTACAGATGATGAGCCTCGCTGATTTCCATCCACCGGAGGAGAATCTGACGGCCGGCTTTCCGAGCTCATCGGCGGCAATGCTACCCATTGTGTATGGATGAATGGTTTTGACTTTTTAGAATATTAAAAACAGAAAAAATGCTCTTTGGATTTTTGTTGCAGTAATAAATGTTGAAGTTGACCTAATTTGGCTTCGCTGGCAATTCATGTCCATGAACAAATAAAGTAGTTAACTCGTGCTGTGCATGTGGTATTTATTTATTATTTTAATTATTTCGGATTGAGGAAGATTGAGGAAGTCTCAGGAGGTAGTTGGAACACGACCAATTTAGTCAAAAATATCATTAAGAAAAACAGTAAGAAGCCCTCGTTAGGTTGTCAGATGCGAAGATGAACAACCGACGTTTTGGGCCATATTGATAAACAAATGGGTTCTATGTTTTTGTATGTGGCAAGATGCCAAAATGTATAATTTTGTTTTTTGCAAAAATGTATTATTGCATGTATGCTATCATTGCATATGTGCTTTGCTCTGATCTTATTCGATTTCATTTGGTTGTTCATGTGCACTCACGTGGTTCTAGAGTTTTTAATTGATCTAAATAGATATATTTGATTTAAAAGTAAGATTTAGATTAATCTCATAATCGAGTAGGCTCAAAATACTCTGAGTGAATATATAGATAGGTTAGTAATTCACACATTTGTTTTTAAACAAAAATATTTTAGTTTAATAATAAACTGTATAAAGGGTTGTGTCACTATGTAGCTATGTACACAAAAAAGAGGGTTGTGTCTTTGCGAAAATTAGTAATTCTGATCAAATGTTTAGACTGGTATTCGTATCCAAGCCAAATTATTAAAAATAACCAGTAAAGAATTTATATTTTGTTTAAACTACTAATTTAGCTGTGTATAAAATAAAATAAAATGTTTAGAGAAGAATATCAAAAAGCAAAGTTAGATTGTAAAACATCATTATTTTTAAAGATTTCTAAAACACTATCACAAAAATTCTTTCCTGGTTATTTTTAATAATTTGGAAGAACAGAGAAGAAAATGCATTAATAGAAGGTGTTTGGTTTGTTGTAGACATAAGATTTGGCAAACCACAAGTAGGCGCCTAAGCCAATGAAGGTGAGACAAGCGAGTAGCCAGTAGAAGTAGTCTAGATGAGCTTTGTTCAGGTCGTTATCAAACCAGCTTGTTTGACCAGACTGGCTCGTTACTTTATCAATGAGTGATATCATGAAGCTGCTTAGGAAGTTTCCGGCCCCGTATATGCTTAGGTTCAGAGCCATACCAACGCTCCTAAGCTCACTAGGGACTTGGTCATAGAAAAACTCTTGTAAACCCACCATTGTGAACACGTCCGCGACTCCATAGACAACATACTGCGGAACCAACCACCACACGCTCATTGGTATGGTGGGGTCATCCCGAGCGGTTTGTAGCCTTTTGGTCTCGACCAAGGCGGCTATTACCATAGCAAGAATGCACAGAGAGATGCCTGTGCCAATCCTTTGAAGCATTGTGATTCCTGATGGGATTTGAGTGAAGGATCTTGCGATTGGGACGAATAGACAGTCGTAGGCTGGGATGAAGACGAGAGCTGTTAAGTTGATGAAGCATTGGAGCGTAGCTGCAGGGACTAAGAGTCCTGGTGAGATTGACCTGTTCATTGTGGCTCCTTGCTTTGTGAAAAAAGTAGGAGATTGTGCATACACAATGGCGTAGACTAAGCAAGTCGTCCAAATGGGAACAAGCCTAAGCACTGCTTTTGCTTCTTCAATTTCAGCCTTACCACACGAAATCGCTGCTCTGTCAAGGAACCTGCCATAGCGTCCAAAAGAAACTGTAAATAATACATAGACTTCCATCTTTCTTGCCTCAAAGATATTCTAAAGGAAAAAACAGAGTCTCTGTTAATTATGTTACCTAAATTGTTTAGAACTCTGGTGAGGGAAGAGAAGGAGGCTCTCGTTCGGATTTGCTATATCTAAATCTTGTTTTCTTTTGTTCTTTATTGCCTCCATGAAAACACGACCGATTCTAGCAAAAGGGTTTTTCTTTCCTCCTCTTTCATTACTAAACCGGTAAGATTTAGTTCCAGAGAGGAAGAGAAACAGAGCAAGAATCATGGAAACGGTTGGAATACCAAATCCCAAGGACCAGCTTAGGTTCTCTTGAATGTAACTAGAGACCAAACGAGTGGTTGATATGCTAATACAGCTTCCAAACATCAACCAGTTAAAGTAAGAACTCTTGGCTTTTGCCTCAACGAGGTCATTTCCGTCGAATTGATCAGCTCCAAAGACCTTAACACACGGTTTGTAACCGCTTTGTCCTATCGCTACAAGACACAGAGAAGAGACGAAGAGAGTCACTTGGAGCTGATTTGAATCTTTGGAGTGAGAAGGAATCATTGCTGAAAACGACAGCAACCCAAGTCCCTGTTTTGTTTCAATTTTAAGATTTCACAAGATTCAAGAAACTTACTAATAATAGAAACGTTTTAAGAGGAAAGTACCAGTATATAGAGAGAAGATGAGATGATGATAGTACGGTAACGACCGAGAAACGAGTCCGCTACGAACGCCCATAGAAGCGGCAAAAACGCCATCGTTCCAATCCAAGCGTTTACGTTTTCCGCAGCTGAAGCGGTTGACTCACCCAATGGTCCGGTCAAGTAAGTTATGAGGTTCGACGTTATCCCAAAATACGCGAACCGCTCCGCCATTTCTACACCTACAAAAACATAATCGAATGTAAAAACAAAAACAAAAACAAGAAAGAACAAAGCGGAATTAATTAGCAAATTTGCAGGAGAAAAATAATGAATGATGAGCCTAGCCGATGGCATTGACTTACAGATGATGACCCTCGCCGATTTCCATCCACCGGAGGAGAATCTGACGGCTGGCTTTCCGAGCTCATCCGCTGAGGTGTCGGTGATAGCCATTGTGTGTTGTTGATTTTTTTTGGAATTTTAAAAATACAGACAAAAGTATAAAATGATGAAGGTATATTATAATCAAATATATTTGCTTCGCTGGCAAGTCATGTTGATGAACAACAAATTTGGTAGGTTAACTCGTGTAGTCGTGTTGTATTATTTTTTTTTGTCAACAAGTCGTGTTGTATTATTATAGTCAAGAATATTTTTTTTTTTCCTTTCCTTCTTTTGGGATTGATTGAGGGAGTGGTTGGGGACATGTCCAATTTAGTTAAAAAAATTATTTAAAAATACGTTAGAATGTTTTTTTTTAACAATTTTTCAATGTGTAATATTTATCCCAAAAAAAAAACTTCATTTTTACGACTTGTGTTTCCTTGTTTTAAGTTTGAAAAGAATTTTGAAAGGAAATTTCAAAGATAGATTGCAATTACTTTGTTATGACGAACCAAAGTTGGAGATCTTGAAACTTTTTGCTTACAACTATTTATTTAATCAAAATTCGATCGTGTTTGCATTTTCATTAACGTTTGTATTTTACCAAATATGTTATGGAAAACTAAAAATAATGCTCTAAGACTGATCGTAAACCACATATATCACTGCGATACGATTATACGAATCACACAGTCCAATAAAAGCTCTAAGACTACTACACTCCGTCCACTGGGCGATACATATACGACTTAGATATGAACAAGAACACCAATAACCCCAGGGCGCTAATAGCTGCAAGTAACCAATAAAAGTAATCAAGATGGGCTCTGTTCACATTACTGTTGAACCAGCTGCTTCCAGCGTCTCCTCCAGTGGCCAAGTCGATCAGAGAGATAAGCAAGCTGCTCAATAAGCTTCCTACACCAAACACACTCAAGTAGAGTGCCAGACCAATGCTTCTCAGCTCGGTGGGGACTTGGCTGTAGAAGAACTCTTGCATTCCAACTACTGCGAATACGTCGGCCAATCCAAGCAACAGATACTGAGGAATCAACCACCATATCGACATTGGAACGGTTGTTTGTGGTTGGTCTATAAGCCCATGTTCTTTTGCAGTTTGCAGCCGCTTGGTCTCAACCAGAGCTGCAATCACCATAGTGAGAGTTGCTATTACCATTCCGGTTCCAATTCTTTTGAGCATTGTAATGCCACCAGGATCTTTGGTTATGGACTTGGCCATTGGGACGAAAACACGGTCGTAGATGAGGACAAAAAAAACAATTGATATGCCAATAAGGACCTGAAGAAAAGCTGGAGGGATCTTTACACCGGGAACTATTGTTCTTTCCATTGTGACGCCTTGCTTTGTGAAGAAAGTCATGTATTGCGCGTAAGGTACAGTGAAAGGGAGAGTTGTAAGCCACACAGGTATAAGCCTGACAAGAGCTGTGGCATCATTAACATCACTAACATTGCATGGATTTGGGGCAAGCAAGGCTATGTTGAGGAACCTATCATGGAAAGTGGCTTAGAACCATAACAATATCAATTTCATTCCACAAGCCATTACTTAAGGTGCATCTTCTTTAAATCTATTTATGTATTGAAGGCAAGCATACCTCAGCCTCTCTGGAGATCCTTGAGATGGATTTGCCTCCAGCTCAAATGATCTTTGGTTCCTGAATGCTTGAAAGAAGACCCTACCTATCCTAACAAAGGGGTTGATTTCCTCTTCCGGTATTCTTTTGGTGTACCTGTAACTCCATCGCCCAAGCACAAAAATAACAAGAGAGATCAACATGAACACACATGGGATTCCAAACCCGAGTGCCCAACTCACGGCTTCCTGAATGTACACAACGACTACAATGGCCAAACAGATCCCTGCAGACATACTAAGGTACCACCAGTTGAAGAAGGAGCTTCTGTCACGTTTCTCTTTTGGGTCTTTTTCATCAAACTGGTCTGCCCCAAAAGCCTGAACACAAGGCTTATGCCCACTTTGTCCAATGGCCACCAGGTACAGAGAAAAGAAGAAGAGTACATTGAGCAAGGAAGAATGTGAAGAGGCCACTTCTGTATTCTCACTGGTAAGAGGAACCAGAAGTGCAGAAAAAGTCAAAAGAGCCATTCCCTGACATCAAATGCACACTACTTCAAACCAATTATATACTACCCAACTTTTGATCACTGAGTTTTTAACGTAAAACTGTCAGGTTTGTACACTCTTTCTTGAAGTACAAGCAAGCTAAAATGCTATCAATTGGCAGTATTTTAACAAGCATTATCTGTAAGAAACTTGGAAACTCATACTATGATCGAAATGAAGAGATTTCTACAATTTCTTCACCTAAAGTTTTGATGATAGGAGACCAACCAATATGTAGATAAGAGAAGCGATGATGATTGTTCGGTAACGACCGAGAAAAGCGTCGGCGAAGAAAGCTCCAATAATAGGAAGAAGACAGGAGATTCCCGACCACGCGTTGACGTTAGCGGCGGCGACCGCCGTAGATTGACCAAGTGGTCCAGTCAAGTAACTAATTAGGTTTGATGCGATTCCATAATATGCGAACCTCTCTGCAACCTCCACACCTGCATATACACTAAGAAATTCAGAAAAAAAAAATTTGGAGGAAAAATAAAGAAACAGAGCAGCTTGCGATCTCATTCTTGTCGGAAATTTGTTTGCTTTTACCGATTATGAACCAAGCGGCTCTCCATCTACCGGTATTGAATCTGCCGGCGGCAAGTCCGCCGTGGTCAACGGCGTTGTACACGTAATCGTCTAGAAGAGGAATATTGGCGCTACTCGCCATTTTTCTATTGAATAAGGAAAACACAAGCGAGGAAATAACCAACGGCAGATTTTGTCTCGTGCCATCTGAAATTCGCTGTAGGGAGGGACTATGGAGAAGCTAAATAATTTTGTGTTTTTTTAATTAATTTTTTTTTTGGGTTCAGTGATCACGCTTTCGTTCCCATAGCTAACCAATCATATTCTTTTACGTCGCATGTGGTTTATAATTTTAAAAGATTGATTAAAAAGAAGAGTATTCAGCACGATAATATAGTACAAAGGATCATTTCACTCTATAGTAAAAGTTGACCAAGAAATTGATAATATATCAAAGCATAGAAATTATAAGGCCTATGCCACATTATCAAAAGTTGACTTCAGTACCCCTATAACTATCTAATTTGATGTAAAGAATTTTCTGTCAAAAAAGTAGAATAAACTGACAGGTGCATTTAATGCTGCTCAGCTGGGGACAGAATAGCCTGTAGAGCTATGAGCACCGCCTGCAACAAAGATATGCAGAATCAACAAAGATATGCAGAATCAACAAAATGTGTGGTAGATAAAAAATAAGAACATCAGTAAACAAGTAACAAAATGTGTGTGACTTAAGTGTTTTCTACGCAGAAACAAGATGTTAACAAGTCAGTAATATTGGTAACAAGAGTTAAAACAAGACCATATGGCGTAAACAGGCTGTAAATAACCAAGCGGACATCTTTAACAGTGTTGGCAATTGCTAATCATATATATAATATTGTTAACACGATAAAAGTTACCGATATAACAATATTTTTTATTGTTAAATTTGTTAACAATATGGAATTACACCCTTATGTGATTTGCAAATACAATGTCTTCGATCGTTAACTGTGTTATCATGTGCACTGAATGTCTTCGGACGTTAACGTTGATGTTGTTATCACGTATTTATTTAGACAAATGTTATAATGTTGACCTTATCCTAACTTAGTGCTAATATAGCAATGTTTTTTATCGTTAACTTTGTTAACAACATAGAATTACACCCTTATGTGATTTGAAAATGAAATGTCTCCGATCGTTAACTTTGTTATCATGTGCAGTGAATATCTTCGGACTTTAACGTTGATAATATTGTTATCACGTATTTATTTAGACAAATGTTATAATGTTTACTTTATCCTAACTTAGTGATAATATAATTAACGATTCTTGGCTCCAACTAGTGTAATTATCCTAATCCAGATTACAAAACAATGTTAGCGACAAAATAAGTAACGATATAACACAGGTAGCTATTATCTACACATGGAACTACACTACTGTATTCCGGAAAGATAAAACTCTTACTTCCTCTAAACGGCTTATAACTCTAAATAATATGACTCCATTATTAGAGGTAGCGAAACAATATGACTCCATCTGAATTTTCGGGAAAAAACCTTGTACAACCACATTAGAGGTAGCAAAAATAGCAAAATCCCTTGTCAGCGGAAAGAATCCTTTGCGGAAGTTCCAGATCCGCCATTACACCTGCATATAGACACCCAAATTAATAAGCTTTCATCCCCAATTAAAAGTATTATTTACAAAATAGATGATAACAATACATACCAATTCGCCGATAACTACAAGAGACTCTGAAAAGAGAAAGATGAAGAGAAAGATAAATTCGTAGATTTGCAGAAAAGAGAAAGATGAAGACAAATATATCGCTTCTGGTTTGCAGCGATGAATTAGTTAGAGGCGATATACTCTAAGATAGTGTCGTTTTTGCAGACACTGTTCTTCCTTTCGTACTTTTTTATTGTCCTTATTTCCTTTTTATTTTTTATTGTTTGCTGCAAACGGTTGCGTGCTCAAACGACATAATCTTCCACTGACACCTTTTCTTATTTAGTGGACCCTACGCGATGAGAGAGAATGGATATAAAGGACGAAAGGATTAGGGGTTAGATGGTCCCTTCCTGGTGAATAGTGTCGTTTGAATAGTGTCCTTTAGGCAGAATTAATTTCGATATTATCTTTTGGTAGATGATGATAATACTCAACTTACAAATTTTAGGAAAAAAATATATTTATATATCTTCATCTCACACCCTGCCAAAAAATGAAACCACTCGATCGTTATATATTTATCTTTTGTTGTTCGTTTTAATGCAAAAATAATAATAATATAATATCAGGATACTTAGCTCGGTCCATGGGGTAAACATGATAATCGGCGAATCGGGGACTTAGAACATCTCCATAGGTGAACCCGGCTTAATTTGTTGGATTTAAAATAATTAAAAAGTTTAAAACTAGTGATACGGTATTTT